TCCCACATGGGTGCATGGTCCCAAGGCCTTGGGCTGTCCGTGACTACTTTCCCAGGCCACAAGCAGGGAGCTGGATGGGAAGTGGAGCTGCCGGGACTAGAACTGGCGCCCATATGGGATCCCGGGGAGTTCAAGGCAAGGAACTTTAGCTTCTAGGCCACTGCAGCGGGCTCATGTCTTGAGTTTTAAGCAGATGCAAATTAAGTTCAACAATCCTGCTTACCTCCCATTAGTGCAAACATCACCAAATCGCCATATTCAGTTTCCAAGTAGTTGAGAAATAGTGTCGCAAACAGAATGGCTATGGTAAAATTATAAAAAAAATGGAAAGTAGTAAAACAAAACTGTGTGGCAATGATGCCTGGACATTCTCAGATTATTATTATGTTTTCAAAAACAGTGTATAAATTAAAAAATTAAAAGACAACATAGGGCCCAGCACCGTCACCGAGCAGCTAAAGTCCTCACCTTACACGTGCCAGGATCCCATATGGGCATCGGCTCATTTCCCAATGGCCTCATTTCCCATCCAGCTCCCTTCTTGTGTCCTGGGAAAGCAGTGGTGGACAGCCCAAAAGCCTTGGGACCTTGCACCTGTGTGGGATACCTGGAGGAGGCTCCTGGCTTCAGATATTGCAGCTGCTTGGGGAGTGAATCAACAGGTGGAAGATTTTCCTGTCTCCTCCTCTCTGTATATATGTTTCCAATAAAAATAAAATAAATCTTAAAGAAAGACAATCTGCAATTTTTTACTGGTTCCTTTGACTTTTTTTGTAAAATATCTTACCTTTTTTCTTTAGGGTTCAGAGAACTGGTAAAATCACTAATGATAATTAGCAATTACTTGGGGGAATGATGAAGGTGAATGTATTCTATGTTTACTTAGGAAAGACCAACAAGGAAGTCCTATATCTATCTTACTGATCTATTTCTGTGTAATGAATTATTTCAAAGCTTAAGCGGTACTAGCATCATCTCAGCTTCTGAGGTCAAGGATTTCAGAGCTTAGCCGGGTGGGTGTGGCTCACAGTTTCTCCCAGATTGCCATGAAGATTTTGGATAAGGCCACAGTTGTCTGAAAGCTTGCCTGGGTCACAGAATCCGCTTCACAGCTGCCTCGTGTGGCTGCTGGATGAAAGCGCGGGCTTGTCTCACACGGCAGCCAGCTTCCACCAGAGCGACCTGGGAGAGCAGGCGCGTACAAAAGCCAGCCAAATGCCCAGTGCAATTTATTATTATTTTTTGAGCCAGAATTAAATTTTTAACCTCTTTCCTGAAGTGCCTTCCCTCACAGGGCATAACTACTAGACTCTGTTCACTCAGACCAAGTTTGGCACAAGGCAGAAGCCCTTCTGGGTTCTACCATCTCAGTGACTGCTTAACACAACACACAGGAGTTGTGTTGGGAGAAAGAAAACACACATACACACTTCATAAAAATCTATCATTTTCTTTTTTTTTTTAAGATTTATTTATTTATTTATTGGAAAGTCAGATATACAGAGAGGAGGAGAGACAGAGAGGAAGATCTTTCGTCCGATGATTCTCCCCAAAGGAGCGCAATGGCCGATGCTATGCCGATCCGAAGCCAGGAGCCAGGAGCCTCTTCCGGGTCTCCCACGCTGGTGCAGGGTCCCAAAGCTTTGGGCCGTCCTCGACTGCTTTCCCAGGCCACAAGCAGGGAGCTGGATGGGAAGTGGAGCTGCCGGGATTAGAACCGGCACCCATATGGGATCCCGGGCGTGTTCAAGGCAAGGACTTTAGCCGCTAGGCCACGCTGCTGGGCCTCTATCATTTTGAAAAACAATTTTAAAAATTCAAACAGTACAGCTCTTAACTCTAAAGTTTCTCAGAATATCAGACTAACTTGAAATGTTAATCACATACAAGAAAACATTTGACACAATGGCATAAGGTTAACTCTACAGACTTCTTTAGGTCCTCAGAGGGTATTGCATCTTTCAGGTTTTGATTGAAATGATACTTCTCAGAGTTCTTCATTTTGTTTCATTAGAAACTATTCTTCAGAATAAACATTGCCACTCAGCTCTGGTTTGGTTTCTTGCAAAATTTGAGATGTACTGCTTACTAAGTGGGAAAATGTGAAGGAACGTTCTCCAAGTTTGGGCCCAGTTTAAAAGACAAAGGATCCTGTAATGTCGCCTGAACACTGAGCTATATTTGGGAAACTGGCAAACGAAGGGGTCTGTCTTGGATTAGGTGTCAAAATACCTAAAGGATTTCTTTAAACAGAGCCAGGGTCAGATACAACAGGTGCCTCCCTTCTAATTTTGGAATCAGAAGCAGCCAGTTTAAAGTGAGGCTGTGTGGCATTCATTCAGCAGGAGGGAAGACAATGAGTGATTTTACCACAACACTAAAAAGACTGGGCAAGTGGTGTTGTTTTGTTTTTTGTTGCTTCCAATAGCAAGCCAAGTTTTTAGAGAACAGTGTTTAGGAATTCTGAGAGAGGCCTATTTTCTTAGCCATTTTATAATTCACCTAAAGACATCCTGAAAGTGGGCCCTAAAGCCAGGCTCTAGGGTAGTTACACGGTCGCGTTCATTCTTATTTTGATTATATTATTATCTGAACAAATTTTGGAAATGGGAAAATGTATTGGGGATATAGTTGTCTTCCCTTCCTTTTCAAAAGATTTCAGCAGAATTTGGGGCTCTGAGATGACGGTGACTTTATGAACCAATTTGTAAGCACATTTCCATGATTAAAGTATTGGGGATACTACAAGATGGGAATGTTTTCAAATATTCGGAAGCACTTAAGAAAGTTTTGTGAACATAACATAAGCAATCCTTTTATTTGAATGGATTTTTTAAACAAATTAAAGCAACGTAATCATGAACATTTCCATGACAAAATAGGGTTGGCGGATTTTGAAATTCACAGTCCTCAGACATGAAAGCTTTTATTAGAACTGCAAGATATTCAGAGATGTGAAGTTAACTTTATATATTTGATATATTTCCCATAAGCTCATATTGAATGCAAGATCAGCACCAGAAATTCTTACTGTAGGAATATTACCATAAATGTTAAGAAAGACATTGATGGCATATCAGAAATTTTGGCTTATAAAATTAAAAAAAAAAAAAATAAGAGGGCCCAGTGGCTCCTTTGGTTAATCCTCTGCCTGTAAGCACTGGGATCCCATATGGGTGCTACTTTGTGTTCTAGTTGCTCCACTTCCCATCTAGCTCCCTGCTTGTGGCCTGGGAAAGTAGGGAAGAATGACCCAAAGCCTTGGGACCCTGAACCCACCTGGGAGACCCGGAAGAAACTCCTAGCTTCAGATCAGCTCAGCTCCCAATTTGAGGCCAATTGGGGAGTGAACCAGAGGATGGAAGATCTTTCTGTGAATCTGTCTTCCCAATAACAATGAATAAGGAAAAAAAAAAAATTGCTCATTTTAGATATTCAGTGTTTAAACTGTACATTTTATTTACTTCGAATATAGGAGTATATATTAGGCAAGCACTGTCAAAATAAAATTAGAGCCAATTTGTAAGTAGAGGTAATACTAAGTGATTTTTTTTTTAGCTTGTACAGTTTTGAAAATATTTTAAGAAAGGAAAGTGTCAGGCTTGACCTGAAACTAATCTTTTCTGAAAACATTCCAAAGTGTTTTTACTGAACATTTAATACATTTTGGGGATAAGGGAATTGTTCACCTAGGTCACAATAATGTTTATGTTATCTAAAAACAGTACAACTGCAGGGAGAACCTTTAAACATTCAGACACCAAAGCCAGTCAATAGTGAGAAAATAGTGAGAAAAACGCCTAACAGAATTCTTGGGGATTTTTGTCAGACTCTTACCACCAGGCCAACCCCCCACCATTGTAGAGTTTATTTGCCTGCATTGTCTAAACCCACAGCTATCACCCATCTTTCTGCCCCCAACATCGCAGCGGCTTTCCAGACTGGATTAGGTTTCCCAGAAGCCTGCGACATTAATGAAGGGAAAGGTAGGAAGTTGAGATGGAATCTTTGGAATCTTCCAGCACTGCTGCAAACGGATGTCGGTTATGAAGCAAGTACAGGTCTTTCGGGAAAAAGAGATTTGTTTATTTGAAGACATGGGGTGGGAGAGTATGTAGGGAGAGCGAGAGCGAGGCAAGAGAGGATCCATCCTGGTCCACCCGCCAAATGGCTGCGGCCTTTGGAGCCTGAGCTCCATCCGGGTCTCCCCGTCGTGCAGGAGCCCAGGCGCCTGGACCATCATCCCCTGCTTTCCCAGGCGCCTTAGCTGGGAGGCGACTCTGAAGTGGAGGCCTCGGGACTCGAACTGGTGCTAGGTAACAGGATGGCAGTGTCACAGGCGGCAGGTAGTCCGCCCCAAAGGTGACTTTTTTTTTTTTTGAAGGGTCCGAAGCTAAGTTCTGTAACAGTGCCATTTCTTCCGTTTTGTGGGGTGACGGCGTGAATAGACGCCATCGGCCCGGGCATCCTGTCCACGGGTGATCAACGGCCCGTGCGCGCCGCCCTGCGCGGGGTCGGTTCCAGCAGCCCAGGATTAGCTCTAGTTTCCGCTCAAGCCGTGCAAGCCCAGCGCTTCTGCGGAGAGCAGGCCCGGGCGGCCGCGGGCAGGTGCGCCCTCTGCGTGCACATACACAAAGGGCCGACCTTGCGGCCGCAGTGTCCCTGGCAACTCGACGCACGCAGGGCGCCCTGGGCGGGGCGGCCCGAGGCCCCGGGCCTGCCGGCGGCCGCGGCGCCCGGGAAGCGCCCAGCCGGCTCCGGCGGCCCGCGGCGCCCGCGCTGTAGGGACTTGTAGTCCGCGTGCCTCGCGGGCGCCTCCCCCTGGGTAGGCAGGCCCGGGCGTCTCCGCCCGCCGCCAGTCCACTTCCTGCCGCGGCCCAAACTACACCTCCCGCCGTCCTCTCGGCTGTCGGGCCGAAAGCGAAAACAAATTGTGGGCTGGCAGGGTGCTGCCGGGCGCCCCCTCAGGCGCCCTCCAGCGAGGTGGGGGAAGCGAGAGGCCGCGGCTCGCTCGCTCGCTCGCTCTTTTTTTTTTTGCCTCAGCTCTCGGCGTGGGGCGCGCGCGGGGGAGCAGGCCGGCCGCGTCTCACGCGAGGCGGCCCCGCGAGCGCAGCGCAGGCGGAGGTTTCTTCGCCTTTCGCCGGCCCGGGACCAGGAAACTCGTGCGGGAGGCGGCTTGGCGGCCCGGTTCCTGATCGGGCGGCCGAGGCGGTCCGGGCGTGACTCGCTTCCTTCGGGGGGTCTTCTTTCATCCTCCCCCGCCGCCACCTCCTCGGCCCCCACGCCGTCCTCTCTCCGCCCCGGGCGCGTGGTCTGTCTGGGGGAGGCGGGCGCGTGCGGACAGCCATGCACTAGGCAGGGCTGCTCCCCTCGCCTCATGCGCCTGGGGACCCCGGAACGCTGCCTCGGGGCCACCGCCTGCCGCCGCTCGCCGAGCAGCCTGAGCCGGAGCTAGGGTCGGAGGCGGAGGAGCCGGAGGCAGGCCGGGGCGTCGAAGCTGCCGGCGGAGCAGCCATGTGGGGCTAGCCCGCGCCGCGCCTGGCCTGCAGCGGAACCGGCAACATGGAGGCGGCCGTCGGAGCCCCGGACGGCGGGGACCAGGGCGGCGCGGGGCCCCGCGAGGACGCGACGCCCATGGACGCCTATCTGCGGAAACTGGGCTTGTATCGCAAACTGGTAGCCAAGGACGGGTCGTGCCTGTTCCGGGCCGTGGCGGAGCAGGTAATGGGCGGGGAGGGGGAAGGCGGGTGCGGCCGGCGGGGCTGGATTGGGGGAAGCCGCGGCTTGTCCTGGCCGCCCACCACCCGGGCTGCGCGTGGCCGACCCGCTGCCGTCACTGCCGCCCATTGTAACGCCCGAGCGGGGCGCCGCTCTGGGGGCTGCAAGCCGGCCCTGGAGACCGGAGGGAGGGGGGTGGCCCTGGCGTTCCCCGGTGTTGTCCCCGCTGCTGACGAGGTAACGAGTTGGGGACGACTGGGGAGGGGCGCTGGTGGCTGGCGACGCGGCATTTTCCCCCCGGGTTCCCCATTCAGTTTGCTTCGTTGTAAAAACAGAGCGTTTCTCCCCCCCGGTAAATCGCATGATGGCTAAAGGAGGCGGTGCAACCGACTTGCCTGGTGGAACGTGTTTTTTTCCTGCTAGTGGACTTTGGAATGTGCGGGCGTCCAGCTTGCCGCCCGCGGCACTTAAGGAAGCCCATCTTAGCATTAGAGAAAGCCAGCCTTTGACAAAAGAGTATTTTGAGTGAACTGGCTTTGGCTACGTTCCACACCTTGTTATGTTCTGCGGGACGGTGTAGCTGTACTAAAAAAGATCTTTAAGCACAAATGGGGGCTTATTCGGGGTTGGTGATAGGAATCAGGAGTGGTGTATTTTCTGTAGGCCCTTCTTGGCCTTTTTTTTTTAACCCGTTGATGGTTAAAAAAAATTCTGGTACAGATTAGATTTTTGTGATTTTGGGGATAGACTTTGTTAATGTTAGGGGACCTCGGAGGCTTACAGCTGCCAAAATCCATTCTATATTTTAGAAAATAGAGTAGTTGGATGAAAAAGTTTCACATGACTGCTCTAGTGTGTATTTTCTACCTTTCAGTTTGCCGTTTGTAGTTCTGTGCCTCCCTACTCGCTGGGGGGGGTATGCTGTTTCTGTGTCTTTTTTCCTCCCCCTGTCATTGTTCTGTGAGTGGTAAATAGTGTTTAGAATCTGCATTATGAATAGATGTTTTACAGTATGTGGAGTTCAGTCTGTTCTTTTTTATTTTTGAACAGGAATAGGCCAGCACTTTGTTTTTCCAAAGGCTAACACATCTGTAGAATGAGATCTTTTATTTAGAACAAATTGATTTAAATAAAAGCCTTGCCATTATATTGAGGCATTTCCTAAATCATTGTCATTGAAGCATTTCTTGAAGCTCCCCAAACCAGGCTCTGCCTTTTCCAGTTCATTCGTTTTCTTTCATTTCCAGAAGTTTGGGGTGCCCCAGTGTGGTGGGTAAGATCTGTTTACACCCACCCAGCACAGTCCTTACTGTCAGTAGCTAAACAGTCTACCCCATTTGTGGAGGAATATTCCAGAGCTCCATCTGTTGTGCTTCCTCTGTCTCAGCTTCTTTGAACTCTTGAGCACCTCCAGAAACAGAAGAGGCAGAAGGGAATTCAGCCCATGTTATGTACTGCTAGCAAAAGCTTGGTAAGGGAGGAGGTCAAAATGAATAAATGTAACTGGAAGCTTATTTGGGGGTTGAATTATCCAAGTCCCAGCTTACGTTTGTATTAAAGCAGAATAGTGTGTCTGCTTTTAGTATTGTATGTTACAGATGAAGGGTGAGCATGATCTTGCAGAAGCTGTTACTGTAATGTGATTTCTGTTCTAAGTACAAAGGGAGAACTCATTACACTTAGGACTAGTGCTTGGGCATGGTAAGTAAGCCACTGCCTGCAGTGTTAGCATCCCGCGTTGTAGGCACAGGTTCACGTGCAAGCCAACTCTCCTGCTTGTGGAAGTGGAAGATGGACCAAATACTTGGGCTTCTGTGCCCACGTGGGGGCCTTGGAATAAGCTCTTGGCTTCAGCCTGGATCAGCTCTAGCCAATGCACCCGTTTGGGTAATGAGCCAGTGAATTGAAGACCTCTCTCCATCTCCCTAACTCTGCCTTTAGAATAATAATAAAAAGCTAATTACATTTAACAGAATTGATCAACATCAGTTACTATGTTTTACTGTATTTTTGTTTAGTAAGACTTTAAGTTACACGTAATCTACCCTGTCCAGTTAGGGATCCCTGAGGTTTGCAGGTAGCCCAGTTATTCAGTGGACCAGGACCAAGGGTGTAGCCATGATGGCTAGAGGCAGTGTATGTGGGAAAGAGGGAAGCAACTACCACCTTTGCTGCCCTTTTAAGGTCTGCACAGAATTTTTCTTTTGTGAATACTTTTCCTGTGAAATCATGAGAAATAGTTACAAGGAATCAAAAGTGGGTAATCTAGCAGTTTTGAGAGGTGGGAAGGAGACTTAAGTTAGGAGTAGTTCTTCCTTCCCAATTACCTGGGCTACACAGGCCATTTTTACACTTGTATATTTGGGCCTGCAGAAAGCCTGACCTGAATTTGCTCCATAGCTATGGAGCTAAAAATAGGGCACTCTTAGAGGACTTGGTAAAACAGTGTGTCTCAGCCTTTTCTAGAGTTTATCACTGCCTGTTCTCAAGATGGAAAAGCCTGTTATCTCTAGGTTATTTTCATCTTACAGTAATTTGCAAAGGCAGGTGTTGGTCAGACCATTTGATTCTAAGAGACCTCAAACTTGCACAATAACTTGCTTTTTAAAAAGTAGCCATGTAACCTTGTTTGTCCTTAGTATTTGTGAGTTACCAGTGCCTTGCATTTTATGGGAGTTGCTGGGCCTTTTGCTTTAGAGCAGTAGGTTCAGATTGATTCCACTTCAGTAGATAATGCCTGCGATTGTTTTTGCTAGGAAATACATACTTTACTAAAGTATGTCTGCCACCTGTTGTTAGGTAAGTGCCTCTAATGCCAGCTTCATCTTGCTAACAGCAGGAAAGGCCTATCAGATGACAGACACTGTGGTTTACCCATGCTAATACTGCCTTAATTCATAATAGTGGCTAAGATAGCTTTTGTGCAAGGAAGTATTGTTAAATTGGCAAGGGTAACACCCAGCCAAAGCCACTCTCTTAGGTTGATTATCTTTTATGTATGGACAGTCTGTTTTGCATTAGAAGGTTAATATGCATAAGGATATTTTTTGATAGTATTTCAAGACCACAGTGAAAGTACACCTGGTTAACTATAGCCAGCAAGTGTACATAAAACTAGCTCATTGCAAACATGTGCAGTAGGGCTGCTACCTGTCCAGTCACCATACTGTTGTTCTGTGGCTATAAATGAGCTTCGCTCTTATCCAGAAGTGCAGATATGATGCGTGGGCCTAGAGTCTTTGCTCAAAATTCTGAGAAAAACAGAAGAGAGAATGGCTGAAGTGGGAATGTAACTTTTTAAAGAGATTTATTAACGTGACTGGGTGTGAGAAACGGGGGGTGGGGAGCGGAGTGACTGGGAAGAGTGGAACAACTGGAGAGAAGAGATAGGGATGTTCCCTCTTCATACAGCCACGAGGATTGGGGCTGGTCCTGGTTGAAGCCAGGAGCCCAGAACTCCACCTGGGTCTGGTTTGTGGGTGGCAGAGGCATTAAGTACTGAGGACCATCTTCTGTCACTGTCCATTAGCAGGGATAGTCGCAGGCAGCTGCCTCAGGCCAGCTCCTGTTCTGGGGAGTTCTCAACCTATGTGGAAGAGGCAGCACTGTGGTGGAGGTGATTAAGCCAACACCTACAGTTTCAGCATTCCATATGGATGGATGCCAGTTCACCTGTAGGCTGCTCTTCAGCCTGCTAATATGCTTGGGGAGGCAGTGCACCCATGCGGAAAACTCAAATAAAACTCAAATGCTCTGGACTCGTAGCTTACACCTGGCACAGTCCTGGCTGTTGTGGACCTTTAGGGGAGTGAACCAACCAATGGAAGATCTCTGTGTGTGTCTTCTCTGCAACTCTGCCCTTGAAATAAATACATTTTTAAAAAGTTACATGAAGCTACTTTACATAATTCTCAATAGGCTTTGGCTGGAGTTTTTTTTTTTTTAAGATTTATTTTTTGTTTGAAAGACAGAGTTACAGAGAGGGAAGATGGATCTTTCATTCACTGGTACACTCTCCAAATGGTTGCAGCAGTTGGACATGTGCCAATCAGAAGCCAGGAGCTTTTTCAGGTCTCCCACCTGGGAGCGGATGCCTAAGGACTTGAGCCATCCTCTGCTGCTTCCCAGGCCAGAGCAGGGAGCTGGATGGGAAGCAGAACAGCCAGGTTAGAGGCTGGTGTTCCTGGTGTGCCATGCTTCGGGCAGAGGCTTAGCGTGCTACACCATGGCTGTGGTGCCTGTTTTTATTTGCTTGAGCCTTGACCGTTAGGGTACCAGGAATACTTCCGTTTGAGATATCTATTTATAGATTTTTTGAAATTATTATTTCTTTTGGAGGTGGAGGGGCGAATGTGAGCGAATATGAATGAGTATCTTGATAGCTCCTATCTTGGTTCATTCTCTGCTGGGCTTCAGTCCAGGTTTCCTACATGGTTGGCAGGAGCTAAGCTCCTTGAAGCATCACCATTTGGGGCCTGTGCTCCTTTGATGCTGGTCTCAACAAGGTGCAGGTGGAACTGTTACTGAACCAGTCCCCATGAGGTGTTGGAGTCTTAAGTGCTAGGCTAAAGAATTTTAATCTTTTTAAAAATGGTAAAATACTAGGGATAGCCAGAGGGTTCCTATGTGTGTAACGAAGTCCAGAACTTTGGAAATTTTTATTAAGAAACAGGATGCTGTTAAATTATCTTCTTGTTGAACTGATTGTTTATCAGAAGACTACAGAGGCTATTCAGAATGAGGGTGTGGATCCTTGTTGGCAAGTTGGTGCTTCTGATTTTAGCTCTAGGAACAAATCACAGACCTCATTGGTTGTTCACCTGTTTGAGTCTTAAAAGCTTGAATAACTTAAGGATTTAGGAATGCCTTAATTTTTCTGAAACCATAGTGGACTGTAGATTTCTGTATAAGACCACTAAGTATATTCAAAATGATTAGGAACGGAAGAAATTAAAACTTGTGCTAGACTTAATGTCTCAAAACTTACTCTTTATTGTGAACATATTTATTTGTGATTTCCCAATGCAGAATTTCCACTCACCATTATGTGGCAGTGTTTCTCTTAGCTCCACTTTATGAAGAGTATTTTAGACGGTTCACCAGGAGGGATTTTAGTGACCCAAGGGAAATGTGTTAATAAGGCTTCGAATACTTCAATAGAGTTTCTTCTGGTTTAAGTATTATTATGTAGATACGTAACGCATTCATGGAAATTGGGATAAGATAACTTTGTATTTTGGTACAAAATCTTCTGAAATCCACCTGTAGTTTTTCCATACATCATGTTTTCTATGTGCTTTTTATGATAGTTTTTATATAAGTTGTGTCATCCCTGTGTTTAGAGGATGGTCTGAGAATGCATAATGACCTTAGAGTTACTGAAAGATAAATGGTGAGAGACAGGTTAATTGTGTATCTTTTTCTTTTTTTTAGGTGTTGCACTCTCAGTCTCGCCATGTTGAAGTTAGAATGGCCTGTATTCATTATCTTCGAGAGAACAGAGATAAATTTGAAGCGGTAATTTGTAATTTCAAACATGTGATGTTGTCTTGATTTGCATTTATATCATACCCTTTTGAAATGTTCATTGGAAGTTTCATAGGCTGGATCTTGATGCAGATTATGCAAATAACCCTTATAAAAACATCTGTATTGGACTTTAATCCAGTTGTGGTATTGTCTGGGATATTTTATGTTAACTCATTTATTCATTTAGAAAGCTTCTGTAATAGCTAAAATCATGAGCCCTAGGGGAATGGAAGGGTAACCTGAACAGGGTTCTTGCTCTCAAAGAGGGAGCTTTGTCAGATATGGTCAGGGAATTGTGATTACAAGCAGTTTCTGTGAATTACAATGCCTGAAGAATTTAAAAAAATGTCAGGATTGGGGCCTGTGCAGTGGCACCTGAAGCTAGTCCTCCATCCTGAGGTGCCGGCATCCCACATGGCTGCCACTTCCTGTACTGGTTGCTCCACTTCTGAGTGAACTCTGCTTACGGCCTGGGAGAGCATGGAAGATGGCCTAGGTCCTTGGACCCTGCCACCTACATGGGAGACCAGGAGTAGCTCTTGGCTCTCAGCTTCAGATCAGCTTAGCTCATGCCTTTGTGGCCATTGCGGAAGCGAACTGGGGAATGGACATTCAATCTCTGTAAAAATCTTTCCAAATAAAAATTAATAAACATTTAAAAAAGAAAGTATAAAAACCATCCTGTGCTCAAATAACACTGAACTCTTAATTTTATCGTAGTTAATTAATTTCTAACGTTCAGTGATGTCATGTATCAGAGCACCAAATTATATAAATGGTGACCAATAGTTAATGAAATGTAGACTTGCTTAGTATAACTTTCTTGGTGGTGTGTCTGCAAAAAATTGCAGTGAACTGTTTCATTTCCCATTCAGAGCCATGTGGAGATTTATTAGTTACTGATTTTATGACCTAAAATTATACTTTTACAGAAGTTTCTGCCATTGATTAGTAACAAACATTGACACTTTGTGTAAAATTACTAAAATCTCAGGCTGAACAAGTAAAGGCTTCCTAGTATTTTCTTGGTTTGCTTTTCCCTGTGTTCAAATGAAATAAGTGATAGTTTTCTGGGTGCTGTGATTTAGGATGGACAGTAATATACTAGGAAAGAGAATTATTTATTTGATTAGAAAATTTAAACTGTTTTAAAAAACTTAGTGTAGTATACTAAGGTGTGGTACAGAAAGGGAGAGAGAATTGAGCTGATTTTTACATATTTGAAGAAATTGTAAGTGAATTATTGGTCAAGAGGGTATAGCTATTAATAATAATGGGTATTGGGGCCCAGCGAGATAGCATAGAGGCTAAAGTCCTCAACACTGGGATCCCATATGGGCGTCAGTTCTAATCTTGGAAGCCCTGCTTTCTGTCTAGCTCCCTGCTTGTGGCCTGTGAAAGCAGTGAAGGGTGACCTAAACTCTTGGGATCCTGCACCTGTGTGAGAGACCTGGAGGAACCTCTAGGCTCCTGGCTTCGGTCTCTGGCCGTTGCAGCCACTTGGGGAGTAATTATTAGATGGAAGATCTTCGTCTCTGTACCTCCTCCTCTCTATATATCTGCCTTTTGAATGAAAACGAATGTTAAAATAATAATGTATATTGATAATAATAATTAGTACCATTGGTTGAGCACTTATGTGTCATTGTTTTAAGTATTTTGCATATTTTTACTTAGTCCGTATAATCTGTAATCTTTTTGTAACAAATTTAATTTTATTCTTGAAAGACATATTTACAGAGATGTCTTCTGTCTGTTGGTTCACTCCCCATCGTTCCAATGGCTGGAGCTGAGCCAATCTAAAGGCAGGAACCTGGAGCTTCTTTTCTGGTCTCCCAGGGAAAAGGGGAGACCAAGACAATTGGAGGGCCCAAGGAGTTGTTGTCTGCTGTGCTTTTCCAGGTCTTGAGCAGGGAGTGGATGGGAAGTGGAGCAGCTGAAACACGAACCCAGGCCCATGTGGGATGACAACACTGGGAACTAAACTGCTATTTTCCCAGGCGATTAGCAGATACCTGGACCAGAGGTAGAGGAGTTAGAACGTGAACTGTTGCCCATATGGGATGCCTGTGTTGCTGGTGGCTGCTTTACTTGTTTATGCCACAACGCCAGTACTCTAGGAAACTTTGGACATTTGCAATTGACAACATTCATCAATCCATGAGTATTTAAAAGATTATTATGGATTGGGGAGTATACTTTATTTTTTTTTAAGTTTACAAGGTTTCCAAATTAACTATTGCTGTATAAAATTGAATTTGGTAGGTATGTTGAATGTTTGAACTTTTCTCAAATTAGTATAATTTTTGTGAGAACAACATGGTTGGGTTATCATATAACCCAGCTCTTCAGAAAGTTCATAGAAAATGTGCATTATGGTAAACTGAATGAATCTTATACCAAATTAAACTTATCTTTAACTCAGTGTTCTGTGAGCTTTTTGGAGGTGCCTGCAATACAGTTTGAATAAACTTACATTAAAACAAAAATGAAGCAAGCTCCATTAGAAAAACCTTCTTGATGCTTCTGGATGCCTTTAGCATTGTATTCATTTTTTTTAATGTAATCGAGTACTCTTTTCAAAAAGTTTTATTTTTGTTTGAAAAGGCAGATTTTACAGAGAGAGGAGGAGAGATAAAGTCTTCTATCTGCTAGTTCACTTACCAAATGGCTGCATTGGCCAGAGCTGAATTGATTGAAAGCCAGGAGCTTCTTTGGAGTCTCCCACGTAGGTTCAGAGTCCCAAGGACTTGGGACATCCTCTGTTGCTTTCCCAGGCTATAGGCAAGAAACTGGATGAGAAGTGGAGCAGCCAGGACGTGAACCCAAGCCTATGTAGGGTGTTGGTGTTGCAGGGCAGAGCATGGCTTCTTACACCAGTGCTCTGGTCCTCATCTACATTATTAAGGTATACATTTTTAAAACTGTTCTATACACTGACTACTGCCAAATTTTCATCATACAGTTTTTTAGTTCAGAATATCTCCTGTGGTGACCTTATCTAGTCTGGAGAGGCTCTATAAACAGGGTCCACTTGGTTCTTTTCCCACTTGGCTCCTTATCAGGTTCCTCACCAGTTTGAGCTGCTCTAGCTAGGTTAGGCCAGGCCAGGCCATCCGGTCTTCATGAAATAATGTTTTTACTACTTTCTCCTACCACGTTGATCCTGACTGCAATACCTTGTCTCTCTGCTCTTCTATATTCCCATTTGTATTTTATTGTAAAAACTCAGTAATTCAAAGTTAACATTGCTTACATTGTGAAGTGGGTAACTATTATTGTGACATTTGTTAGATGACATTTGTAATAGACTTTTTCTTTTCTTTTCAGTTTATAGCTGGATCGTTTGAAGAGTATTTAAAACGTTTGGAAAATCCACAGGTACATAGTAATCCATTTCTATTTTTGTATATCCAGTTAATGTGTTTAAAATTAATTGCATGAAAGAAATAAGATGCAATCCATGGAAGAACTGCAGTGATAGTATATATTATTTCCCATAAATGTCCCAAGTGTGAATATACTTATATATTGTGTATAAAAGCACAATTAAAAGATAAGTGCATTTTGCTGCCGAAACCTGTGAAATTTGTAATATATATTTTTCAAACCTTGCTTGTACCATGAGTTTTTGAAGATACTTCACACATTTAATGCAGTTTTCAATGGGGAGACAAATGGAGCTGTTTATGAGAAGAAGCTGTTTATTGCCTGATCAGGACAGTTGGGCGATCTTTATCTAAATCATAATGCCATGTGAATGTTGTATGAAAGGTCTGAAACAACACTGGCGGTGATTCTCAGCGTTCTGTGGAGGCACTTACTTGGTGGACAGAGAAGGATTTGATTTCTTGCTGCTACTTTGTGGGAGTTGTATTCCCCTGGATTAGTTTGTACAGGAGGACTATTGAGAAAGTACTTTCCACCAATTTGTGCTATCATTCCTTTTAAGATATTTTAGAATTAAAAGATTTTTCCTTTTTTTTTGTTTTTGTTTTTGTTTTCATGCCTACAGAAGAGTTAAGTAGGTAGTAAAGTGGCTGTAGGGAGAAGAATGTTTGATCTGTGACTTCCCAGCACTGTTTTGAATGCTTACTAGAGGTCATGAGTTGCTAGTCTCCTTGTGCTTGCAGAGATATGAGATAAAAGTCCCCCAATAGAGAAGAAAATCAGATACTTGCACACTTTTTTTTTTTTAAATAATCTTAGTTGATTATGGTACAAAGTGTCAAGGGCTACAGGAATGTGGGTAAGACCATTATTCCCACACTAATATCATCACTTTTTTTCTCCTGTATCTGGGGTCAGGGGAGAAACTAAGGGAAAAGCCCCACCCAGCCTCCCACCCATCCTGGGTCGCCAGTGTGATGCACGCTCTGAGGGTCCTGCTCAAGCAGTTTTGATAGTTCAGCAGTTTTGAATTGCTACCAATCTCGCCATGCCAAGCACGATGAAATCTCTTCAGAATCCACTGGCTGACATAGCATAGTCTCTTCCTGGTTGGGGTTCTGAGATCAGCAGTTCAGTTGGAGGGATCTCCAAAGAAACTTTGTCTGAGGTGATCCCAGACCTGATTCTTAGGTGAGTTTGCCAGTACAGGGTCTGGCACCATCCGTCACTCTAATCAGCTTATGCACATGCTGGTCGTTGCAATTGCTGGGTCAGTTCTGTTTCCAGTCCTGTCTTCCACGTGAACCGATGGGTGTTGGGTGTTGTAGTCCAGCCTGATCCTGTCCACTTCATACTCGGTCCTCACACAAAGCAGGAGCTTCAGCCTAGCTGGAGAGACTCCCCATAACCCCACCAGGCTTGCTCCGTACCCTGGGTCCCATGCATGCCAGTATGTTCTGCAGACTTGTTCAGTGTGTCCCACATCCCATTTAGCTCTTGTGTATGTGTCAATGAGCATTGAAGCCTGCCTACTAACCTGCCCTACTATCCAGCCCATACAGCTCCTGACAGGTGCCTTTTTGTTTAGCTACCACTGTCCCTGTCTTGGTTTTTGTGTTCTCCAGTGGGAATGGTAATCCTGAGGTGCTCACTATCTTCCTACTAGGCCATTCCAACTTCTGGACCAGTTGGAAAGTTGGAATAGTCAGCCCAATTTGGCCCTTCCCTGATCTGGCTCACCTGAGACCCACAGGTGTAGCCCTGCTTAGTCTGGTCTGCCCCATCCCAACTCATGCTTTCCACTGGGAGTGGTTGCCCAGCAGGGGAGCCCATGTTACCCCTGTCGGCTTTGCCCCCTTCCTCCCTGGTTCTCATGTGTGCTGGTTCTTGTGTGGGCGCTGCAACCACATCTGGTATGGCTCACCCCACCTTGGCATTCTATGATGTGCACTGGTTTGTGGGGCAACCAAACCCGGCCCGACTCACACACTATTCTGATGTTTGGATTCACTAGCAGGTGATGTGGACAGGTTCAGCCTGGTCTGTCCTGCACCTATGTCAAATGTATGCCAGTGGGTATCTTCCTCTGGCCTGGCCTGGGTTGCCTCCATTGTGGTCTTTGCGCTCACCTGTAGGGGCTGTGTCCCGATAGAGGAGTTAGCTCAAATAGATCTTATGGACACTCCCCTGCAAACCACCAGGTCTCAGTCCCCGCGCTTGCCTGAAAGTTTCATGACCCTGTTACTGGGAATCACCCAGAATTCATCTCTCACCTACGCTAAAACTGGCATTTTTCATGGGTGTCCCAAGGAAGCAATTACATACCATGAGAAATTGAGTTTGTTGCCTGGCAGCCAGCAAACAGAGCCTGGCACCAGTGGTGAGCTGGCCTCCCAAAGCCAAGGATTCACTTACTGCTTTTTGGCAGTGGCTTTGGCCTGAGACCCCAGCATTGTGTCCAGTCTGGCAGTGGAACACTCCACAGCTGCCACACTGCAGGAAGCTGCTTTTGCCCCCAACCCCAAGGCCGAACCACACACTTTTTTTCTTAAAGGTTTATTTTTCTTGGAAAGTCAGATCTACAGAGAGAAGGAGAGACAGGGAGAAAGATCTTCCATCCACTGGGTCACTCCCCAGGTGGCCGCAACAGCAGGAGCTGAGCTGATCCGAAGTTAGGAGGCAGGAGCCTCTTCTGGATCTCTCCTACACAGGTACAGGGTCCCAAGGCTTCGGACCTTCTCTGTTTTCTCAGGCCACAAGCAAGGAGCTACATTGGAAGTGGAGCAGCCTGGACATGAATCCTTGCCCATATTTGATATTGGGACGTTAAAGGCGAGAACTTAAGCCACTAGGCTACCACTTTTTTTTTTTTTTAAAGATTTATTTTTATTATTTTTTATTAGGAAAGGCGGATATACAGAGAGGAGAGACAGAGAGGAAGATCTTCCGCCCGATGATTCACTCCCCAAGTGAGCACAACGGCCAATGCTATGCCAATCCGAAGCCAGGAGACTCTTCTGGGTCTCCCACGCGGGTGCAGGGTCCCAAAGCTTTGGGCCGTCCTCGACTGCCTTCCCGGGCCACAGGCAGGGAGCTGGAAGGGAAGCGGGGCTGCCGGGATTAGAACTGGTGCCCATATGGGATCCCGAGCGTGTTCAAGGCGAGGACCTTAACCACTTGCGCCACCGCGCTGGGCCCACCACATTTTTTAGTACACGTTTTTTGCACGCATTTTTTAGTAAAGTACTTGTATTACAGGAAATAGGAGAATGATGACATAGACATTTACAAGGCTTGAGAAGCACTTTATGTATTTGAAATATGAAAAGATTTTAAAGAAGTTGTGCCTGGGATGGGCTGTACTCCACATAGTGAAAATTGAGCGATCAGATGCAGAAAACAATATGGAGAAGTGTTTTTAAATAAGTCAGGGCAGGTGGCAGCCTGGCGCTGAAATGGTTCTAAAAGCTAGTCTTAGTATACTTTAGATCGGGTTTCTCAAAGTATGATTTACAGGTTCTATCTTTATAATCACTGTTATACTTGTGGAAAACAGATTCATGTGTATCACATATTCTGAGCATGATTTAGAATCTCTGTGCCTGGTATCTGGTCATCTGGTTATCTGGCATTGGGAGCCCTTTAAGGTTCTTTTTTTTTTAAAAGATTTATTTATTTTTATTGGAAAGTCAGATATGCAGAGAAGAGGAGAGATAGTGAGAAAGATCTTCCATCCGATGATTCACTCCCCAAGTGAGCGCAACGGCCAATGATATGGCGATCCGAAGCCAGAAGCCAGGAACTTCTTCCAGGTTTCCTACACGGGTACAGAGTTCCAAAGCTTTGGGCCGTCCTCAACTGCTTTCCCAGGCCACAAGCAGGGAGCTTGATGGGAAGTGGAGCTGCCGGGATTAGAACTGGTGCCCATATGGGATCCCGGGGAGTTCAAGGCGAGGACTTTAGCCACTGGGCCACGCCTCCGGGCCCTAAGGTTCTTGATGTAGGAACTGAGAGTATGATGAAGGAACAGTTGAATTGTAACTCAGCTTCCAGTACATTCTCTATCATCTGTCCTTACTTTATTTTCTCTTTAGCTCTTTCTACCATTTGACATATTTTTTTGTTTGTTGTCTTTGTACTACAGTTAAGTGCTGTGACCATAGAGCTCTGTATGTTTTGTTCATGCTGTGTCTGCATCATGGCCAAGAATAGCGCTTGACATTTTTTGTTGAATGAATGGATGAAAGAATATTGTGAAGAAATAGTTTTGAGGCAGGTGAAACCAAATGCAGAAAAATCCATTTTTAAGTGATTTAAAATTGTTTAACATAAAGAAACATATACACATTAAGTGAGAAAGGGGATATAGTATCGCTCTTTGGGCAAAACAAACCAATCTTCTAAAGACCTTTTCTTTAAATCCACTTTGACTCTATTTTTATTTGCATAATTCCGAGTCCATTTTCTTGAAGCTTATATATATTTTTAAATTATTTGTAGATGGCAAATATTGTAGATGATTTTCTTGCTTTATATAAAATATAGGAAATACTAAGGTTATTTCTTAATCAGGGAGACCACAGTGCTATTTTATAATAGTGAAACACTTGCTGTGTGTGTGAGAATCTGAGCCTGAACCGCTGTTTGGGAATAGAGAGAAGATGGCGAGGAACAAGCCAATGTGAACTGAACTTGGACTAATTTGATTTCGGATCTGGAGAAAAGGGAAGAGTGAAAGTTGATGTGGTTTGAGGCACTTCTTGAAAGTTGGTACTTCACTTGACCCCCTGAGTTTTACTTTCTGAAAAAACACTACACTTGATGTTCTCGTGACGTCCCTCTCCTCAGTATGACCAACTTTTGCTTTATGTCTGAGGTCTGAACAGTTTGTTACCAGCACTTGTAAACCTTCACTCTGTATTTTCTTTGATCTTTTGTGATCAATGAAAAATGCAGTTTGTGCATAAATTCCATTGCTTCATCAAGTTCTCAAAGCAATTATCCTCTTATACTATGAAGACATTTTGGAAAATTTCTCAAACTTTGCAAGAATGCATTTTGTCAGCTTTATTGAGGTAGAATTGACAGCAAAATCACAAATTTTAAATGCGTAAAGAAATTTGACAAATACATGTATTTGGGTAACCACCATCATAAACATCAATAGCAGGGCATTTTTACCATTCCAAAAAGTTCTTACCTTACATCCCTTTTGTACTTAAACAGCACCATTTCTACGTCCCAGACAATTATTGATCTTTCTAGATGCACATAAGTGGAATGATGTAAATTCGTAGTCTTACTGTGGCTGGTCTCTTTAACTTAGTGTAGTAAAAGCACTTAAAGAATCCTGCATGCTGCTGTGAGTGGCTATTTCTGTTTGTGGCAGAGGGGTGGCTTTCTGCATGGATATACTCTAGTCCATTTCCCAGTTGGCTAATTTCTGCGGGGTGCCTCCAGCTTTGGGCTGTTAGACTCCAAAGTGCAATGCATGCTCTATGTGACACATAAATGAATGTGTAGACGTGTGTAATAACTGAGCATCTTCTCATGTGTCTGACAAATATCTTACTGGTGTAATGTATGTACACAGATTTTGCCCATTTTTGTTTTTAGGATTTATTCATTTTTATTGAAAGAGATTTACAGAGAAGAGAGTTGGGGAAAGATCTTCCATCTGTTGGTTCACTCCCCAAATAGTTGCAGTGGCTGGAGCTGAGCCATTCTGACGCCAGGAGCCAGGAACTTCTTTCAGGTCTCCCCTGTGGGTGTAGGGTCCCAAGGTTTTGATCTTTTCTCTACTGTTTTTCTAGGCCACAAGCAGGGATGGAGCTGGGACACAAACTGGCACCCATATGGGATCCTGGTGCTATTTGATCCTTCATGCTGGCCCCTAATTACCTTTTTTTTTTTTTTTTTTACTGTTTGTTTATTTTACTTGAAAATAAGTTACAGAGAGAGAGAGACATAAGGAGATTTTCCATCTGCTGGATCACTACCCAGATGGTTACAGTTGCCAGAGCTGGTTTGGTCCAAAGGTGGGATTCAGGAGCTTTTTCAGGGTCTCTGACGTGTGTACAGGGTCCCAAGGCTTATGACCATCCCCTACTGCTTTTTCAGGCATAAATTACAGAGCTGGATCAGAAGTTGAGAGCAGCCAGAATCCAATATGATGGTTCCCATATGGGCTGTTGGCACTGCAGGCAGAGGATGAACTTACTAAGCCACGTGCCAGCCCCGTTTTTGTTGCTTTTCGTCTTACTGAATTACAGCAGTTTATGCTGGATTTAAGTCCTGTGTTGATAAACATGTTTTGCAAATACTTGCTTCCAGTTGTTTTATAGCATTTGATTTTCTTATGTATTAAGATTAGTTTTTCATTTTCTTAAGTGTCTTTTTTCTTTATAAAGACTTATTTATTTTTATTACAAAGTCAGATATACAGAGAGGAGAAGAGACAGTGAGAAAGATCTTCCGTCCTATGATTCACACCCCAAGTGAGCGCAATGGCTGGCACTGCGCTGATCCGAAGCCGGGAATGAGGAACCTCTTCCGGGTATCCCATATAGGTGCAGGGTCCCAAAGCCCTGGGCCATCCTCGACTGCTTTCCCAGGCCGCAAGCAGGGAGCTGGATGGGAAGCGTGGCCGCCGGAATTAGAACCGGTGTCCACATGGGATCCTGGCATGTTCAAGGCAAGGACTTTAGCTGCTAGGCCATGCCACCAGGCCCATTTTCTTAAGTGTCTTACTCAAAAGTTTAATTTTGCTAACTATGTAGAAATTTTTAAAAGTATTTTTATGTAAATGCAGTTAAAACGTTTTGTAGGAATTCTGCACAGGAGAGTTGCTCATGAAGCATCATAAGAAGGACCAAGTGAAATTTTGGTGTTAGCAAAGCATTGCTATAATCTTAAATTGAATTGTTTAAATTTGAAACTGACCCTGAAGGCTGGTGTTCCAGCCCAGGTAGAGGTTAAGCCCCTGTTTGGGATGCTAGCATCCCGTGTGCATCTGTTGGTTTGAGTCCTGGCCGCTTCCCATCTGTTGGTTTGAGCCCTGGCCGCCTTCCTCTTGCTGTGCCTGGGAAGACAGCGAAGATGGGACAGGTGCTTGGGCACTGGTACCTGTGCTTCTGATTCCTTCCTTTGCTTGCTGTTGCAGCCGTTTGCGTCATTAGTGGATGGGGAGATCTGTCTCTGTCCTCTCTGTCAAAAAACAAATGCTAAAAATAGAAAACAAAACTAACGCCTGTAAGGAAAGTTCTTTATGATAGCTGTTGTCTACATGTCCACGGCAGAATTTATTCTGAGGGTTATTTATAACAACTGTACGTCATTCTCATGAGAAGTAGCATTTGGTTAACATTAATAAAACTGTTCAACATTTAAAGTGATGTAATATTTTACATTTTGCATAAGTTAGAAATGTAGTTTGTTTGTGTTCTAAAGTGTCATCATTGGAGCATTTCCTCTATTGCAAGAGACTGTTGCTTGAAGCAGTTAGTGAGAACCAGCAGTTATTACCGTAAGGTCTGTTTTAAGACATCTATATTAGTATAGTATATGGAACCTATTTCATTTTGAAAATGTGTACTAACTTTTCTATTACAATGAAGTCAGTTGTGGTGTAGCACATTAAGCTTCCTCCTTCAATGCTGGAATCTTAAAAGGGCTCCAGTTTTTGTCAAATGTAAGTCTCCAGAGGAAAGATTATCCTTGGTGAGAGATCAAAATGTCATCTAAAATTTTTTTCTTAAAAAAAAGTTTATTTTCATTTTGTTTGAAAGGCAGGTAGGGAAGTGAAGGTGATGGTTAGAGGAGAGACAGGGAGCCATCTCACTTATTTTACTTCCAGATGCCTGCCATAGCCGGGGCTGGATTAGGCTGAGGTTCCCAAGTGGGGGACGGGACGCCAAGCCATCATCTGCTGCCTCCTAGGGTGCACACTGGCAGGGTCCTCGCTGGCAGGAAGCCAGTCGGGACTCAGAAGCTAGGCCTGGACACTGAACGCAGGACGAGGGCGACTTAACCACAAGGTTGAATACCTTGCACCATTACCAGTTGCTTTTAGTGATTCTTGCGATTATCTGTACTACTTGTTATAAGTGACGTCATGGTAGAAGATTTTAGAATGTGGATGTTCACAGAGAGAAGGGTACAAATCTTGTTTAAGCCTTTAATTCCCTTTGTTTAATGTGAATTTATGGTGAGTTTCTGGGTTTTGTCTTTTTTACCCACATGTAGGTACAGATAATTAGCCTTTTTGTTTTACAAGTTTAATTTTGTCATGCCTTAACTTTTTTTTTTCTACTTACTGTGCATGCGCAATCTTCCTAAGTAATTGAATTACTCTGTAGTATGGCTAAACCATGTTAGAAGTCTTAGGCTCTCTCTTTGTGCCTCTGTCAGCCATAACAAGTATTCCTTCAGGATAAGATTTGTTGAAGTTGAATTACTTGGTCAAACAGGATATGGACATTTTACATGCTGATTTTTACCTGGTTATTTTTGCCTTCTAGGCATTCCATTATTTTGAAATGGATGCTGGGACACTGCTGTCTCTCTGATCCACCTCAGAGATAATAGTTGATAATAGAATTTTCTGCTGCTACTCAGTGTTTGATTTGCGGGAGTGGGTTGGGGGAGGAGGGTTGTGGATCTCATGTGCTAAGCTCTGTCCTGGGTGCTAAATTGGAGGATACCCCCCATCTTCAACAAATTGTCAACTTGGATTTGTAACTCCATGGGCTTGCCACACCAATAGAAGCTGTCATTGCACCATATTGTTGTTACTAAGAATTTATAAAACATATCTGCACTATACATAATATTACCTGTCTTATGTAAAAGCTTTTATAGTCACAATTGAATACTTTTTCAAGTTCTTTAGGTATAGATATTATGTAGAGTGTATTGCAAAAAGTGAGACACTTATGTACCGATTTTTTTTTCCCTAATAGGAGTGGGTTGGAGAAGTGGAAATCAGTGCCCTTTCTCTTATGTACAGGTAAACACTATAATGACACGGTAGGGGAATATCGGGGAAATTGGTCTGTTTCTTTATGCTAAACATTTTAAAATAGTAGAGTTATTCTATACTTATATATGAAGCATATTTTGCTTTAGATATGAAGCTAAGGTTTTGTTTTTAAATTGCATATCATTTTACATTGAAATGTGTCAACATTTAGAAATTATAATTCTCAAAATGTTTTTGGAAAAGAGCACAAATTTTTTTAGGTTTTACCCTATAGATCACTTATTAAAACTAAAGAAATGAAATTCTGGGCTAGTACCACCGAATGATCTGTTAAGCAGAACTAATGTACCATATTGCTCAGTTTACTACTGCTGCCTAGTGGAGGAGAAGGCGATTCTTCGTTTAAACTCCCCTTTAGAGGAGTTTTTGGAGCTTTATGTGTCCGGATGTAAAGCTTTACATTTTGGAAGACAGTTTTCTATATGTAGTCTGCAAATCTTTTTATTTCTTGTTGTGTTTGGTTTCGTGCTCTGTTCCTAGTGCTTAGAGCACTACTTGGCACATATTAATTAGACACTAATCAGTGAGTGAAAGATTACATTTGAATCATGAAGAGTGTTTTTCTAAAAGTAATTTCTAAATGTGATTTTCAGGAAAGATTTTATAATTTATCGGGAACCAAATGTTTCTCCGGCACAAGTAACTGAAAATAATTTTCCTGAAAAGGTAAGACTTTTTTCCAGTTGTTTGTGTTATATCCTGACTGTCTAAACTGTATTTTCAAGTTAGTTTTAGAAATATTTCTGTATGCCTATTGTGGTACTCTGAGTTTTTGAATTTTTAGAAATCATCGTGACATTATTTTGTGCTTTCCCCATTACTCTTGAATCCTTTTAAAACTTTTTAGTAGACACTGAAAATGGTTGTGAGGTGCTAGTACATGTAAAGAGTTAGATATTAAATAGTAAAAAATGTGAAAATAAATTTTATGATTCAAAAATACTTTTGGTAATCCTGTGTTTCCCATTGTGAAGATAATATTACTGGCAAGATTGTTACTTCAGAATCTGATCACAAAACAGGTATTATTTGAATGTGTGACACCCAGGGTGGGGGTACAGGGATCTTCCATCTACTGGCTCGCTCTCCACATGTCTACAACAGCTAGGGCTGGACCAGGCTTAGCCCAGGGCCTGTGAGTCCCCCATGGCAGGAGGCCAGGTACTTGCGCCATCATTTTTTGCATTCCCATGTCCATTAGTAGAAAACTGATCAGTAGTAGAGTAGCTAGTTTCTAAATTGGACATCCGGTATGGGATGTGGGCGTCCCAAGCAATTCCTAACTTGCTGTGCCCATGGGGGAGTCTTGTTTCAGTTTTTTCAATCAGATTTTTGTTTCAGATTTAGGAATCATGTGGGCCAAGTTAAAGTGAGTTGTGTGGCCGCCTTACTCATAGTAGTTGAGGGGAAGAGAGTTGTTGAAACCATGTAACAACTTGAGAGTTTTCAAGAGAGGGTGATGATATTTGGCCATTGCATTACGATTTTTGAAAGAAGATATTTTCTAACTAAAATCAATTAGATTTTTCTGGGTATAAGTAATTGGCCATTTAGGAACTATTAAAGCTTTTAGAGAAGCAGAGATTTATGTTGTGATAACATTAGTATCACAGAGGATACCATTAGTAAAGTTTTACAGTACTTTCTTCCAGTCTTTTTCATGTTTTTTTAAATAGTTGAAATTATATTGTTTTATGTAGTAAATCTATCTTTTTTTGCATGTGGTTCTGTAAAGAATTCCTCACATCATTCAGATTTTTAAAAAATTTAATGACTGTTTATCATTTCAGTATGTGGGTGTCCTGCAGTTGACAGCATTGGAACTTTTTAGGTTGCTTTTTAAAATAATTACTTATTAGGAAATGAATTTAGGGTGTTGGAGACATGCATGTTGCTCAGCGAATGAGGTTTTGAAATGTGCTTTATTTCTCCCATTCAGGTATTATTGTGTTTTTCAAATGGAAATCACTATGATATTGTATATCCCATACAGTATAAAGATAGTTCTGCTATGTGTCAGTGTAAGTATTGTCTTGTGTTTGTATATTAAATTATGTTCCTCAATTGTAATCTTAATGCAAAAAGAGAGGTAAATATGTTCTTTTGTACTATAAATGATAATTTTAGGAACCTTATGTTACTGAGAATACTAATATTATGACACATTTCAAAAGAGAAAACATAGTCGATAGTTACCATTTGGTTGGGGCTGGCATTGTGGTGCAGGTGGTAGAGCCAAACAGCTGCATCCCGAGTGCTGGTTCAAGTCCCGACTGTTCCACTTCCAATCTGGCTTTCTGCTTATGTGCCTGAGAAAACAGTAGATGGCCGATTTAAGTGGGCGGCCATTTGAGAAGTGAACCAGCAGTTAGAATAGCCGTATCTTTGTCTCTCCCTGTTTCTATAACTCTGCCTTTAACATATATAAAGAAGTATTAGGAAAAAAGAAAAAAAAAGTGGAATCTGAGAAATTCCTTATTCAAGGTAACTGTTAGTGGGAAAGCTAAAACAAGTGTGCAGATCTTGTAAGACCTCTGTGACCTTTAAATAATGAATGCAAAATAAAACAGTATTCATGGAAAGGAAGACAGCTTGGGTAGTACTTCATGAAAAAAACATGACTGCCTTATTATTGCTGGTGCCATATTATCTGGTGAGAATGGTGCTCAAAAGTTGACATCATTAAAATTCAAAAGAGCTAAACATTTACATATTTTAAAAAACAATAGAGGCAGAATGAGAGGAGCTCATGGTTGCACAGTAGGCTGGCGCTGAGGTCAGGAACTCCATCCAGATCTCCTAGAAGTAGCGGGAACACAGTAACTTCAACCAGCAGCACAGGCTCCCAGCATCTCCACTGGCAGGAAGCTGGAGGCACGAGCAGAGCCAGGGAGTTGGGAGACATCTTCATTTTGTAGTTGTAAAAATGAGTGAGTTTGGGCCCCAGGGTGGTGGCATCGTGGCTAAAGTCCTTGCCTTACAGGCTCCAGGATCCCATATGGGCTCCAGTTCGTGTCCTTGCTGCTCCACTTCCCATCCAGGTCCCTGCTTATGGCCTGGTAAAGCAGTGGAGGATGGCCCAAGAGCTTGGGAATCTGCACCTGCATGGGAGACCCAGAAGAAGCTCCTTGCTCCTGACTTCAGATTGGCTCAGCTCTAGCTATTGCAGCGATTTGGAGAGTGAACCAGTAGATGGAAAATCTTCCTCTCTGTCTCTGTAAATCTGACTCTTCCAGCAAGAAAAAGTATATCTTTAAAAAAAATTAAAAGTGAGAGACTTCAAACTACCTATTTCCTCAGAGATTCTGTAACTTCTGTTAAAATATTTATTTTGATTTTATTCAAAAGGTATAGATCTTCTATGTCCTAATGAACTAGCAGCTTTATTAAGGTCTCCCATGTGAGTGGCAGGGGCTGTGGTTTTGCTCTTCCTTCATTTCATTTTTATAGGCAATTGGCAGGAAGCCGATTTAAAAGTGGAGCAGTCAGGATGATAGCTCAACTGGCTAATCTGCCACCTCCAAGCACTGGGATACCACATGGTTGCTGGTTTGTGTCCCAGCTACTCCAGTTCCCAGTCAGCTAGCTCCCTGCTTATGCTCTGGGAAAGCAGCAGAGGACGGACCAAAGGTTTCCCACCCTGCACCCATATGGGAGACCTGAAAGAAACTCCTGGCTTCTGGCTGCTGACTTCAGATTGGCTCACCTCCAGCCACAGTGGCCATTTAGAGAGTGAACGGGTTGGTGGAAGATCTTTCTCTCCATCTCTCCTTCTCTCTTTAAATCTGCCTTTCCAATAAGAATAAATCTTTAAAAGAAAATAATAGAGCAGTCAGGACATAACTTGATTTCCTTTTTTTTTTTAAAGATTTATTTATTTTTATTACAAAGTCAGATATACAGAGAGGAGGAGAGAGAGAGGAATATCTTCCATCCGATGATTCACCCCCCAAGTGAGCACAATGGCCGGTGCTGTGCTGATCCGGAGCCAGGAACCTCTTCCGGGTATCCCACATGGGTACGGGCTTTGGGCCTTCCCAGGCCACAAGCAGGGAGCTTGATGGAAAGTGGAGCTGCCGGCATTAGAGCCAGTGCCCATATGGGATCCTGGTGCGTTCAAGGCGAGGACTTCATAGCCACGAGGCCATACCACCGGGCCCCTGAAACTTGATTTCCATATGAGGTGTCAGCATTTCAGGTTGCAGCTTTATTTGTTAAACCAGAATGACCGTCCCCAACTGAAACCCTGGAGCCATCGCCTGCTGTCTACCCAGGTGTGCATGAGTGGGACTCTGGGTCACGCACGAGTAGTGAGGACTCAAAGCAAGCACTCTGACAAGACAGGGGGCATCCCAAGCTGCAGCTTAAGCACCTATGCCAAATGCTCCCCCAGTCTGTATGCAGCTCTTTAATTGGATTGTGTTTGACTGTAAAATTTCTAGTTGGAATTTTAGAAGCTGGAACAATGTAACAATCTTATATTCTTGTGAAGAGAATACTTACGGCTGATGTTACATTTCTTGTTAATTGCAGCTCTCCTTTATGAATTGCTATATGAGAAGGTATTTAAAGCTGATGTTAGTAAAATCATGATGGGACTAGACACTTCTGAAGTAGCTGATGGAAACAATAGTGAAATATCAGATTCTGAAGATGATAGTTTCAGGTAAGATGATTTGGCTTTCAAGTGCCATTGAGAGGAACATTGCAGTAATTGTTTCTACAGGGAATTACCTCACGTTGAAGTTTTATCTGCAAATATATTTCGTGGAAAAATGGGATTAAAAGATGTTTATGGTGAAGATTTTTTAACAATGCATATTCTGCATGAACTTTTTGAAGACTCATAATCATAAAATACAGCAGTTTTCAGTAGAAATTTCCTTATCCTCCCTGCAACTGATTTCTTTTTCCATTTTTTAAATATATTTTTGACAATCTTTACATAGTTAATTAGGGCAAAAAGGTACAAGAGCTATAGGAAAGTGGGTAAGACTTCTTTCCATACTGTTTCCTTCATATATCTGAGGTAAAGGGGATATTGAGGGAGAATCCCCACCCAGCCTCCCACCCACCCCAGGTCCCGGATGTGAGGCATGCTCTGAGATACTTGCTCAAGTGGATAGTTCACCAGTTATGAATTGCTGCCAGTCTCGCCACTAAAGCACGATGAGGTCGTTGAAGAATCCAGTGATTGACATAGTCCATCTTAGAGTCTCCATTTGCCCAGTATTTCTCTGCCAACATATGGCTGGGTAGTTGATTGATTTGTTCTATCTTCGGTCTATTAAATCTGAACGTTACTACTTTTTCTTCCCTTCTCTCCCATGGCAATTGATTACTTTGTATCTACATTCATTAGATTATACATTGCATTTGGGTAATGTTTTTGTCTCTTTTGTTTGCTCTTTAACCCAGCACATAGGAATACATAACATAGTGCCTGGCATTTGGTAGATACTCAGATATTTGTTGAGTAAGTGTAGGTATGCATGCTGCAGTTAATTCAAAGGGTTGATGGTGAGTTTTTGGTTGTTTTGAAGATGTTTGGATATAGCCAGAGTTTTCCATAAAAGGATGGGTTGCTGAACACCAATATCAAGTTATTGTCACTAAGATTATTTTTATTAGAAAGGATATTTTACAGAGAGAGAATGAGAGACAGTGAGAGGTTTTCTATTCACTAGTTCACTTTCCAAATGACCTCAAGAGCTGGAGCTGAGCCAAAGTGAAATCAGGCGCCTCCTCTGGGTCTCCCATCTGGGTGCAGGTTTCCAAGGACATGGGTCATCCTCCTATTTTCCCTAGCCACACACAGAGAGCTGAATTGGAAATAAAGCTGCTGGCACAGGAATTCATGCCCACATGTGATGCCAGTGCCACGGAGTGGAGAATTAGCCTGCTGCACCACCATGCTGTCCCTGTTACTATTATGTTTATTGGGACCTGACCTATCCTTAACTGTTTGCTAAAATGTGAAGTTTTAGGTTTCATTGTTTAGATTTCACACTTTATTTCTGTTTCCATTTGTTTTGATTAATAAACTATTAAGAATTACACATCCTTCTAATTTGATATACACATGTATTATTTATATGTATTCCAATGCTAACATTTGTATGACTTCACTGGAGGAAAGCTCTTGACTTTGAAAAATGTTAACTTTGGAGAGTCAGCAGTTAATTGCTTGGCATAAATGCTTTATTCTCCTTCTGATAATTGCGTTGTATTTTCTCCTTTGTAGGAAGAAAACTACCACTGATAATGATGTGAATGGATTTAAAGCTTTGTCAGGCAATGAGGTATTTTTGTAAAATAATTTTAACTGGTTCATCAATAGAAGAAGGGATGTAACTAACCTTTTTTATTGTTTTTAGTACATTTTCAGTAGAGTCACAGTTATCTATGATATGTTTCTCAAAAATGTTTTGAAAGCATTATTGTTGATTGGGCTTTTCTTTGTTTAGCATCAGAAGAACAATGAGAAGCCTACTAGCCTTCCCTTGTCTAGAAAGGTTCTTAAGTCACTCAATCCGGCAGTCTACAGAAATGTGGAATATGAAATTTGGCTGAAGTCTAAACAAGGTGAGTTTAAAAAATCTATGCTTTAAAAAAATCATCGTTTTTGTTCATGAAAGCCAACTGATAACTGGTTTTTTCTTATAGCTCAACAAAAACGTGATTATTCCATTGCTGCTGGTTTACAATATGAAGTTGCAGAGAAATGCCAAGTAAGTGATTTGTATAAAAGTAGAAAAATTTTACTTGAAGTCTTACTTTTTCTAATAGGAATGAAAAAGCATCTGAGGTTTTAATGTCTTGGTAATTTGAGGTTTCAGAATGTGTTCATTTTTAAAAGATGTATTTATTTACATTGGAAAGACAGATCCATACAGAGAAGGTGATACAGAGAGTAATATGCTGCATCCGCTGGGTTATTCTGTAAATGGCCACAATGGCTAGAGTTGAGGCAGTGCAAAGCCTGGAGCCAGGAGCTTCTTTCAGGTCTCCTGCCTTGGTCAGGGTCCCCAGGCTTTGGTATATCATCTACTGCCTTCCCAAGCCACAGTCGGGGAGCTGGACTGAAACACTAACTGATGGGCCCGGCAGCTAAAGTCCTCGCCTTGAACACACCGGGATCCCATATGGGTGCCGGTTCTAATCCCGGCGGCCCCACTTCCCATCCAGCTCCCTGCCTGTGGCCCAGGAAGGCAGTCGACGACGGCCCAAAGCTTTGGGACCCTGCACCCATGTGGGATACCCGGAAGGGGTTCTTGGTTCCTGGCTTCGGATCGGCATAGCACCGGCCATTGCGCTCACTTGGGGGTTGAATCAGCAGACGGAAGATCTTCCTCTATCTCTCCTCCTCTCTGTATATCTGACTTTGTAATAAAAATAAATAAATCTTAAAAAAAAAGACGAACCGTTGTCCATATGGTATCCCAATCCCTTCAAGGCAAGGATTTAAACACTGAGCCATCACACTGGACCCAGAATGTATTTATTTTTAAAAAATTATTTACTTAAGAGGCAGAAACAAAATATGTGCAAGTGACTCTTAACTCCCATCCCCTGGTATACTCACTAAGTGCTGCAATGACTCCCTGGGACTGGGCTAGGGTGAAGCCAACAGTGGAGAATTCAGTCAAGGTTCCCCTTGTGGCTGTTGGGTGCCAGCGCCTGCTGCCTCTTGGTGTTTGAATAAGCAGTTGGGCTGGTTGCTGAGCTCAAGCACTCCAGTATGGGCTGTGGGCAATACGACTGGTGTCAACTGCTAAGCTAAATGCTCACTCTTGAGAATGTATTTCTCTTCTATACATTTTAAGTTACAAGCACACCAGTCTTTTGGCACAGTGGGTTAGACTGCCACCTGAGAAATTTTACAAAGAAAGAAGAGAGAGATAGCTTTCATTCTCTGGTTCATGCCCCAAACGATTGCAATGGGTAGCGCTGAACTGATCTGAAGCAGGGATGCAGGAGCTTATTCAAAGTTTCCCACGTAGATGCAGGGGCTCAAGGTCTTGGGTCATCCTCTGCTGCTTTCCCAAACCATAAGCAGTTACTGAATTGAAAGTGAAGCAGTAGCTAGAACATGAATGCCGCCTACCCCTCCCCCCTTTTAAGAATAGGTTTATTTTTTTATTGGGGAAGCAGATTTACAGAAAGATTTTCCATCTGCTGCTTCATTCCCTATGTAGCTGCAATTGCCGGAGCCAAGCTGATGTGAAGCCAGGAGCTTCCATATCTCCCATGTGGGTGCAGGGTCCCAAAGCTTTGGTCCATCCTCTACTGCTTTCCCAGGCCACAAGCAGGGAACTGGATGGGAAGTGGAGCTGCCGGGATGTGAACCAGTACCCATGTGAGATCTTGGTGCAGGGGAGATGGATTTAGCTGCTAGACAGGTTACTGAGCTAGACTCTTAAAGAAGATCCCTTTGTGACTATTGAATGAAATGTCAATTTGATTTTTGTCTAAGTAAAAACAGGCTCCTTAAAGCAGTGCTTTTATTGGCAGTGTAATGACTGATAGGTATACTGTAGAAGGACATTGTGAGCCTGGAAGGTCAGCTAGCTCAGGATTACAATTGATAGGATAACATTTATATGAGAACAACTGGATGGATGCCATTTGTGTGAGTGATTGGATATCATTTGTATGAGAACTGAATGGGTACCATTGGTATAATTAAATGGATATAATTTGTAAGAGAACAGCTGAGTGGATAGCATGTGAATGAGAACACTTGGTAGAATATACAAAACAAAAGAGCTCCAAACAAAAGCATAGAAACAATTGATGGGTTCTGTTGATAAGCTCAATACCTCCTCCCTTATCCTATATGACCCTCCATCTGTTAGTTCTGATGTCACTAATAAACTATTGACCATCAGTCAGAGTCCAAGCATGTTGTTATTGGCTTGTGCACCAAGCAGTTTCTGCTGGACAGCTAACAGTATACCATTTAGAGTGTGTAGCCTAATGATAGGTAGAATTCTTAAGGTTTATAACCGAACAGTTGGGTAAAACCAGTTGTGAATTACACTTGATGGTTGTAGTTGTAGGAAGAAAATGGTCATAGTTACGCTTTTGAAATCTGAGTAATGGGAAGATAATAGTTATTTGTAATTGCCATTGCTTGCGTGTTTGCTGTATGTTAAACAGATGTCCGTTATGTGTACTGTGTTTACCCTCATTATGCATTCCTCTGAGTTAGCTTCAAGTACTAGCTGCACTTTGCATGTATAGAAAGTGGAGGAAGATTAAAAAAAATTGCCCAAGGATGTAATACTGGTAAATGGAAATGCATTGGGTGCAGCTTGAGGAGTCTGGCACCAAAAACAAGTACTCAAAAACAGGACGTACTGGTTCCGTTTGCTCTCTTGCTTGAGGCCTTGGTGGATTGTGTTGCTAGTTTGAATTGTTCAGAAAAAGAACACAAATTTTGAAACTGTGAATTAGAAACCTTTTTTTCTAGATCAAGTTTGGAGGTTAAGGGACATTTTATTGTATTTCCTTTGAACTTAGTTTGTTTTTATCAATGACCATGATTTTCTCTTATTGAGGGCATTTAAAATTTAGAAAAGATTATTAATGCAGAGGAAGCAGGTGACTGAATTTTTATTTCTGTCATTGTTAAACAGGTTAGGTTGGATCACAATGGAAAATTTTCTAACACAGACATTAAAGGTGTTCACTCTGAGAATGGACCAGTTCCGGTGGAAGAACTGGGAAAGAAGTATGTAACTGGTTCTTCAGCTAAAGCATTTACTGGCTGTTCTGTTTAGCCTAGTGTAATCATGAATATTTCGAAATGACCCTGCGTATTTGTAGATGCAGTAAAGATATTACCCACATGTAGGAAGCTTAGTCATCTTCAGAAAAATAGTTTCAGTTCAGATTTTGTATTTTGCCTTTGGCAGATGTTTGAAATACTTGTTTCATTGCTCACTTTGGGAAGTTGAGTATAAAGTTGGAAAATGGGAACCCAGTGGCCTATTTTCATGTCTTATTTGATTCATGCTACTACTGCATGCCATGTAATTACTCAGTAACATGTGTTAGAATAGTAAGTATTATTCAGTTGCTGTTACAAAAACAAAGCACCTGTTGTTACTGCTTTTATTAAAAATGTAGTACATCATAATTTACACTTTAATATTGCAAATATTAAACATAATGTAACCAGCACTTTAACAGCTGACAGTATTTCTGGACCTCACTGCTTTCTCTTAAGTGCAGAACTGCTGTCACATCTGTTTTATTAGTTAGTTGTTTGGGATTTAATTAAGGCCTGTCTTGTTTTTCTAAGACAGAAAAAGGGCTTTTGATTTTTGTTATTTTCCCGATTAGAATTGTGTCTGGAAATAAAGTGCTGTGTGTACTTAAATACATAAGTTGTTTTCAATGTGCAAACTAAAACAATACTTACGTAAGCTAAAAATGAGGTATTCAAGATTTATAAGTGATTTTATTAGTATTTTATACAAGTCTTTCTTTCTTCTGAAGACATGCTGTGAAAAACCTCAAACCACCTCCCCCAGAAAGTTGGAACACAGTGTCTGGAAAGAAGATGAGAAAACCATCAGCTTCGGGGCAAAGTTTCCATTCTGGTAGGAGTATGTCAAGTTACCATTTCTTGGAGATAGGGAATATGGTGCCTGGAGTTGTTTGTTATAGGAAAATGATGCATTATTTTTGGGTTTTTGTCAGATACGGATTACAGAGGGCCAAAGAATCCAAGCAAGCCAACTAAAGCCCCGTCAGCACTACCTCCTCGGCTCCAGCATCCTTCAGGAGTAAGGCAGCATGCAGGGGCCCAGTCACAGAAATCGTCCACTGAACACAAAAATCTTAACAGGATACCCTCCCAGATTATAAGGTAACTTTCCTGAGTGCAGGAGAAGTGGGAATCAAGTCAGAGACAATTGTATTGGCCACAGTCTTTGCATTTAAATTGTTAAAACTTTTTGCTCCTGTACTTGTTTATAGTATGGTATTGAAAGTATTGCTAGTGCAATGTTAAGTAAAAAATATATTTACTATCCTTTTAAAGTGTGGTTGTATTCCAATGAAAGAAGCCTTTATTTTTTTTTTTTTTAACAATGTTTTCAAATAATCTGGGAGATGATCTTCTAACCAAATTTCACTCTGGCCCTTACTAGTTTTCTGGTGATGTGTTATGGTATCTTCTGGATTCTGAACTCTATTCCCTCTTCCTTGGAGAGTGCAGATACTATCATTTGTGAGATAGAGCTTCGGTCAACAAAAATTGTTGGGTAACTGTTCTGATGAGTTTTAAGTATTTGTGGTGATATCTTTAAATACTTGACTGCAGTGTGAGTTTTAGGTTTTTTATAGTGATGAGCATTAGAATTCTACACGCCCCTAGACAGGTGAATTTCAGTCTGATGTTTTTGTTGTGCTGGGTGTATTTTAATTCTTTCCTCATATACCTTCTGGTGAAGAAGTAGTCATAGGCCCTGGGAGGAACTTTGGGTGAGAGATTGTGTCGGAAGGTGACTGTCATCCTGCAAACATGATCTGGCTACTCTGGATGTTGGAACCTTCCTTATCCATTATCCAAGCATCCCTCTCCTTAGTTGCCACTGCAGTTACAGATTCAGTGTATGTACTTGGCAGACGGGTGCTTAGTTATGTTTATTTTCCAGCGTGGGACATTCCTTTTCCTTTTGAATGTACTCAACAAATCTTTCCCAGTTTGTGAAAGATGTTGTGTGTAGCAACTTTAAGACTGAGGCCTAAGTCCTTGGACTGGACTGGCAATTAGTGGTATGTATAGTTCCTGGGCTGTGGTAACATTACAGACTGCCTCTCGAGGTTTTAGTTGAGAATCTGTTCCATGTCTCCCTCCTACTTCCAATGTTGCTTGGAATCTTTGGGATTTCTTATCAATCCAGTCATTGCTTCCATTATTGCATGGCACTGACCACAATACATTTGTGTTCATGTGAGTTTAGGTGTTGCCCTATCCAGTATGATCTCATCTTACTTTGAATACATGGGGAAGGACCTTTTTCCTAGGTGTGCTCATGTACTTGAGTGCCATGCATTAGGTAACATCTTTTTAAATTAAATTAACTTATTTGAAATAAATTAGAAGTAGACACAGAGAAAGAGATTCTATCTGCTAATTCACTTTTTAAAATATTTGTTTTTATTTGAAAAATGGCTGGAGTTGGGCTTTCTCAAGCCAGGAGTGAGCAGCAGCTTCTAGGTTTTCTATACGGGCATAGAGTACCAAGAACTTGGGCCCTCTTCTGTCGCCTTCCTAGGCCATTTAGCAGGGAGCTGCATATGAAGTAGAGTTGCCAGGACTTGGAACTGGTGCCCATTTGGGATGCTTGTCCTGCTAGTGGAGGGCTTAGTCTATGCCACAGCACCAGCCCTGCTGGTACATTTTCTAGATGGCCACAATGGCTGGGTTGGACCAGCTTGAAGTTAGGAACTTGGAACTCTGCTTGGGTCTTTGAGGAGAGTGGAAGGAATGTAGGTTCCTGGGCCATCCTCTACCGCTTTCCCAGACAGATTAGCAGTATGCTGGCTTCAAACTGGAGTAGCTGGGATTTGAATTCACTAGTATCTGAGGCACTGGTACTTAGCTTGCTGTGCCACAGTGTCAGTTCCTGAATACGTTTGAAGATAAATTCAGCTCAAACATACTGTCACTTCCAATTTTTAAAAGGGCTATGAAATGAATTTATATTCTTAAAAATTCAGAACATTTCAGGGACTAGAAACACTTGATGCTGAGTGGATTTACACGTGGACATATTAGGTCACATAGTAATTGTTATTTGCTGTTAGAATGCCTTTTATTGTGAGAGTGAATTATAATAGTATATATAGTAAAAATTTACAAGCTTCGATTGTTGAAGTTTTAAAGTTATTTTAAATCTGGTTAACATTTGGCATTTTACAGCTAACAATCTATTTTAAAGCCATTAAAATTCATTTTTGTCTCTAATGGTTGTTCACCTCCCTTTTGAATTCTTCTGATTATAGAATAAAGGAGAGCCGTGAAGATGGTTATGAGACCCTCTTTACACCTTACTTGCTAATTTTTTCCTCATTGCTAATGTCTCTTTGTAGAAAACAAATATAACCAGACCAGCAGGGTTGTTATTCATGCTTTCTTTAGTGTAACTGTGTAAAAATATTGCTAATATTTCTTTTCAAGCTAGGAGAAAATGGAAAGATTGTTTTCTCTGTATAGAAGGAGAGACGATGAAAAATAAACAGCAGTAATTGTTTTGGACACTGGGAAACTGCTGACCCTTGTCTAGCCTTCTTCAGCGTCTTTGGACTACTGGGGTCTGAGGCTTGGCCCGAGATTGTGTGCATGCAGATTCTCTCTCCCTTTTTCTTTAGTTATCATTAGAGTTGAGTGCAAATAAAGTAAGTTGAGGCATGGCTGTTCTTTATTCCAAAGTCAGGAGATATTGTAGCTTTCCTCCTCTTTTTTGGAAAGCCGTAGCTTAAATGTGACAACATATTTTTCCTTTTTTTTTTTTTAAGATTTATTTCATTTTAATTGGAAAGACAGATATACAGGGAGGAGGAGACACAGAGAAGATGATCTTGATCTGATGGTTCACTCCCCAAGCAGCCACAATGGCCAGAGGTGCGCTGATCCAAAGCCAGGAACCTGGAGCCTCTTCTGGGTCTCCCACGTAGGTGCAGGATCCCAAAGTTTTGGGCTGTCCTCGGCTGCTTTCCCAGCCACAAGCAGGGAGCTGGATGGAACCTGGGGCTGCCAGAATTAGAACCGGCGCCCATATGGGATCCCAGCACCGCTACGCTACCACGCTGGGCCCAACAGTACGCTTCTTGGTTGTTTATTTCCTGATACTGTACAATTGCTAAGAAATGATTAGATTGGAGTTATTAGTGACTTTATTCTCTACTTTACCCTATACTGTTTGATTTTGTAAGATATTCTGTAAGGTAGAATAATACCACAGGAAGTTTTGTTTGATATTTGTTTATCAATTTAGCTGCCAGAATTTGTAAAATGTCAGTTTACTTGAATCACCCAAATACTTACACTGTAAAACATCATTTTAGCTACTTAAAAATGTCCTTTTACAAGAATGTGTTTGTGTTTTTTTTTTTTTTGGACAGAAAACCTGATCGTGAGAGAGGTGAGGAGTTCGATCACATGAGTCGAGAATCTCATTATTTTGGCCTCTCCCCTGAAGAGCGCAGAGAGAAGCAAGCTATAGAAGAATCTCGTTTACTGTATGAGATTCAGAACAGAGATGAGCAGGCTTTCCCTGCCCTTTCTGTAAGTATAACCAAAGAATTTTAAAAACTGATATTTACAAGCCTCGTAATAGTTTGTATGTTAAACCATAGTTTCTAATGGTAAGCTAATGTTTGAACTGAAAAGTACTGTGAAGATTTTATAGCTTTCTTTATTTTACATAAGGAATATGAAGGTCTAGAGTTAATACTAAAATGTTGGTGACAGTTGAGTCAAGTAAGTAGATTTTCTCACAGTTCAGTGCTGTCTTTAACTAAAATGAAATTATTAGTGAAGGTCCATGATTCACTGAACACTTTACAATATAAAAAGTCATCTTTTCACTGATTTATTAAATATACTAGGATCTCCTAAATGTGACAAGATTGTTTTTTCAGAGTGATTGTTATTAGAAACTGTAGGAGGTATAGCCCTTGCTTATCATGTAGATGCTGAACTGACACTGGACTGTGATGGGAATTTTTCTGATTAACATTCTCTGCCCTCATGCGGAGTCAGAAGGGAAAATAGTGTGTGTGCGTTCAATGAGAAGGGTTTGTTAGTGCACGAAATCGGGCACTAAAAGGCAAAAATAATTCCTTACTGGTGCTAAGAAAACCATGTACCTGTGGTGTTTAAAGTCTTGGTAAGTGGTACCTGATAAGCTGTGATCCTGAACAGTAACAGTAGATTTAGTAAAAAAGGGATATTATAGGAGGCTGTCTAGTGTAAAACATTAAAACCCCTTATGCTCAGTTCTCTTTTAGTGTGAAATTTCTTACAAGCCCTGAGGAGTAGTTCAGTTGGAAGCAGCTCATCTGAAATTTTGGTGGTCTGGCACAAGAGCCAGCAATTTAGAAAGTAGTGGAAGAGATATTTCAGTTCTTATGTGAATTGGCATTGTCTGTGTGTTGAGTCTATTTTTCTCATGTCATATATTTTTCCATGAAATTTATAGCAACTATCAATCATTTAAACATATAGTTTTTAGCCTTTTAGTTAGTGAGTGATAAGAAGTGCAGTTATTAAAATGTGGGGACAAATTGGGAACTTTTGTTAAATGAATTTTTGATACTCATGCTTAGACTTAGTCATTTGGAGTCAGTATTAAATTTGATAGTGACTCATGGTTGTTTTCTAGAATATTCCTGAAGGAGGAGAATAAGAACCTCATTGTCCAGTATCTGAAACATTTACTTGAGTGCCAGGACTGGAAACCAAATCATCCAGCCATAATTTAGCTTAAAACCTTAATTTATTTTGATGCCCTTTTTTCCCCCACAATTCAGAAGGTTACATCTTGTGCAGAGTTGGGTGATTTGCTGACAGCGAGTGGACTTTCAGTGATAAGAATCCTTGAATCTGTTACCTCACTCTTAGGTTTTCCCGTTCCACAAAGAAATTCCCTTTCCAGTGATTTTTTAGAACGTTTACTTAGATAACTATTGTTTACGTAAAGAGTATAGGTCATAAGGCGAACACTTAAGTCAAGGTGAAGATGTCTGATTGCTAGCTTAAGGATAAAGGTGTGATGGCCTTACACTTGTACTTATTTGATTGATAGTCTATAGAATATACATAAGGAAATATAAACCCTAGCTTATCTTGTGTTTTGTAGGGTAACTGTATAGGGCTGTGGGCTTTGCAGTTTTTAGTTAGAAGTATGAAGGACTTTTGTATATACATTTGTGGATCTTTAAAGTTTTTTTTTTTTTTTAAATAGATGTCATCAGTCAGTCAATCAGCTTCTCAAAGTAGCAACTCGTGTGTCCAAAGAAGATCTTCCCATGGAAATGATAGGAAAGGAAGCAGACGGAGAGTGGACTCAGAAGAACGGAAAGATAAAGGTAGAAACTGTACAGTAGGTGCTGGGATCTGTAGTGGAAAGTCATACAGGAGTTATCTCCCTTATTTGCAGTTCGAGTTACTGCAGTAAACCATGGTGAGAAATTACTAAATGGGGAATTCCAGACATAAAGAGTTCATAAATTAAAAAATTTAATTTTTTAATTAAGCTTGCTTTGAGAGATGAAATTTCATGGTACCTTGCCCCAGCTAGGGTTTGAATCATTTTTGAGTCTAGCATATCTATGTGGTTTATGCTACTATTAGTCAGTGGTTGAGGTATTGTGCTTATGTGTTTGGTGGCACCAAAGCGCAAGAGGTATTCTACTGGCAATTCAGTTATGACAAAGAGAAACTATCAGAAACCTCTTTCAAGTGAAAAGGTAAGAATAAGGTACTTTTGAGAGAGAAATAACCATTTTCTTATTACTATCATTGTAATATATTGTTACAGATTAGTTATTATTCTCTTGTGCTTAAGTTGTAAATAAAGCTTTATCCTACATATGTATGTATATATAGGGAAGGCATTATAAACACAGAATTTGACATTATCTCTGAATCCAGACATTTACTGGATTTCTTACATTGTATACCACATGGATAGACTTACTGTTGTATTCAAGAGAGAACATTTTAAAAATGGTTAAGCAGTATATCTAATGTCACATACTGGACTATTGCAAAGAAGCATTGACTCTAAGGGTTATGGTGAAAAGTGTTTTTTGCTGACTAAACATGGGTTCAAATAGTATATGGTTTTCTCTTTGTGTTTTGTTCTTTTATGCTGTAAACTGACTGGAGGTGATGCTGCCTTTTGTTTATCTCATGCTTTAACAGATTCTGTCCATGGCCATACTCACCTGGATAAGAAACCTGAGCCAAGTACCTTGGAGGTAAAAGTCTTGTATTTTCTCCTAACACTGCTTAGGTGGTGGGAAGAAGTGTGATAAGATGGAAATGATCTTACCATTTTCTAACTATTTTAAGGAAATAGAAGAGCAAGGAAAATGTGATAGAACTTGACAATTCACTCACAAATCATTAAAAGTTTTTTTGAAGTGGTCTTCCCATCTGCTGATTAATTCCCAGCAACTACTGGTCCTGGACTTTATGTTCAAACTCCATCCAGGACACCCACATGGCTGCCAGGAACCCTGGTACTTGGACGGCAACTTTTGCTACCTCCCAGGGTGCACATTAAGAAGCCAAAACTCGGAAAGGAAGTAGACTAAAACCAGGCGTTTGGAAGTGGCACGCAGGTGTCCTCAGTGGTTGCTTCACGTCTGAGCCATTTACTTGCCTCATGACAATTTGGGATGTCCATTTGAATTGTTACAAAGGGGCTGTTAGTCTCTGTTATGCATTGCTATATGTAAAGAAGATAATGCTGTTTGAAAATATGCCCTTAATAGAAAACCAAAATAACAACCAACAAACAGATAAACTTGCCAGTTTGCTTTAATGAAGTTAGACTAGCCAAATCAGCTTATAGAAGAGAGACATAACTGGAAAATATACTAGTGATATAGTTATGAATGACAAAGTAGGGTGAGTTGTAAAGGAAACCAGTAATCCGGAGTGTTGAGTCTGAAATGGAAAAAAATTAAGCTCTCGGTTCTTTTTGCTTTCTAAAGAACATAAGTGATGATAAATGCGCAAGAGTTTCCTCACCGTTGAAGTCAAAGAAGTTGGAATGCCCATCTCCTGCAGAACAAGTAAGTATGCTGTTGGATTTGGTCAGTAAATGCTCCATCTTCTGAATTTCTTCTCCTAAGTAATCATTATTAAAACAAAAGCATAACCGCCTAACATCTGTATGGCAAATGGGAGAATTTATTTTAGCGTCATAATTTAGGGGGGAGTTTACATTTAATTCTGATTGGTTAAACCAGAGCATTATCTGTGCTTTTAGAAAGTTATTTTATAACTGTTATTCTCTGGCCATTCTTGTGAATTGATTTTTCAGTAGTTTGTTTCAAAACCTCTGTACTTTGTACTTTGGGGTGGCTTGAAGTTAGGTTTTTGAAGGTACCTGTGCAGAGTTTTATATCTGTTTTAAAAAACTGTACCACTGGCTTATAAATTGAATGCTAAAGGAAACTGAGTTCATCAATACTGGAGTCGATAATCTAAACTGCTTTACAATGAATCTTGTTCCTTTTAGTTAGAAAGTAAGATGTGCTTTAGAAAGTTTATTGAAACACATATTATCATAAATGCATGGTTTAAAATTTTTCATTTGCAAAATCAGAAGGAACATATTTATTCATATAGAAGTTAATCAACTCAGGGTGAATCTGGTTTCTAAAATTAATGTTAAAGCAAAATGACCGTTGTTTCTCTCCTCTGTTTTTGAAGAAGCCAGCAGAACACGTGTCTCTGTCAAATCCAGCTCCCATTCTTGTGTCTCCAGAGGTCCACCTAACTCCTGCGGTGCCTTCTTTACCAACCACTGTGCCAGCCTGGCCAAGTGAACCCACAACTTTTGGACCAACAGGTTAGAGAAGAATTTAGAAAATCAAACCAGCTAACCAATCAACAAAAGCCTTTGAAGTCTCTGACTCCAGACTATGACATCTGACCTCAGCAGGGTTACTAAGACTCAACATTTTCTGTGATCCCATTATCTATTTTTGAAGCATGAGAGTGGGAGTTGGGGGCTGAGATCATTTGCATGGTTTTTATTCACAGATGCCCTGTTAATCATGAAGACATTGTGTTTTGTGTTGGTTATCTCCTCTAGTTGGTTGGGTCAGTCAGTACTACCTGTTGCCACAATTTGATACTTTACCCAGTGGCCAGTTCCTAATGGCTCCTTATTCAGTCCTTGGCCATATATATTTTACACATTTTTAAGAACTTTAATTAGGAGATACCAGATCAAAACTTGTTTTGTGGATGCATTTCTTTATGTTCAGGAGGTTGACTGATATAGAATATTCCAGGTTGCCTAACCACATATGCAAACTATTCTGTTTAGTTGTGTAAGCATCCTTTATTTTGTATCTCAGTGTAAAACATTCCTGGAGAATTCTTTTCACCTTTTTATAGCTTTTAATTTTTTTTTGTAGGTGTTCCTGCTCAAATTCCCGTTTTGTCGGTGACACAGACTCTGACCACTGGACCTGATTCTGCCGTATCCCAAGCTCATTTGACACCTTCTCCAGTTCCTGTATCCATGCAGGCAGTTAACCAGCCCTTGATGCCTTTGCCTCAGACATTGAGCCTTTACCAGGACCCACTGTATCCTGGATTTCCTTACAATGAAAAGGGAGATCGAGCCATTGCACCACCTTATTCACTGTGTCACACTGGAGAGGACCTGCCTAAAGGTTAGTTCCTTCTTCCAAATGATTTTATTTGTCAGGTACAAACAGCTTTTGGGAGGAATGAAGAGGTGCAAGTAGAGGCCACAGGTGTGGTTTCTCAGGAGGCCAACTAGGGGATGACTCGGGCAGGACAGCTGGCTTACAGTCAGTTCCTCCTGCTTCATCTTGGTTATTGGAAAATGCTTCTTCTGGCCTTAGTGACAGTTTCTCTCCTATGTGATTGTTTAACAAACAACTTTGAAATAATTTTGAATAAATTCTTAATAATTTAATTGGTCTAAACATGAGAGATTTCTCACTTTTTTGAACTATTTGTATTCATTTACATTATGAAGACTGCATGATTGTTATTATAATACTGCAAAGTAATACTTTAATGGTTCTTTGAAAATTTGCTTGCAATTTCTTTTTTTCTGCCCTGGTTTTACTTTACATAATTTCATTTCTATTTAGCTTCAAAGAATTATGTAATGATGACCTGTATGTTTTTTATTTGGATTGATGTGGATAAATTTACTATTGGTGGTTTGATGTTTGACTCAGTTGACTCAGTGGGTAACTGGCAAGTGAATGTTGTCATGTTAGGGTTACCTTTAACCACTCTTCTTGAACCTTTTCATAATTTCTTAAGCCTCCCAGAAATGTTAAAGATACCAATTTTTTTTTCATCCAGATTCAGTTTTAATCAGATTAAAAGTCATATTTAGTTTAGGATGTTGCATGGCAATGTAATAAAACATTTCTAAACCTATAATTACTATTATTAGCTTGGGCTTTGGTTTATTACAGTTTTTATCTGCTTTACATCTCAGGATATGCAATATTAGGTGAAATGCTAAAACTGTTGGCTGAAGATCATGAAGAAAGGATTTGTTACTGTTAATTTAGTGATTGTTTTATTTTCAGATAAGAACATTCTTCGGTTCTTCTTCAATCTTGGAGTGAAGGTATTCATATTATCATTTTAAAGTTTTGAAAATACATCTAGATAGTGTTAACTGTCAGCTTAAGGTAAACCTCTTCTAAATCTTGTAAGTATTTCCAGTTATATATGATACAGTGTTGCGTCTAGTTGGGATTGAGGCTCCAGTTGTTTCTTGCCTTTATTTTTCATAGGCGATAGTTTAACCTTGTTGAATTTATTCAGGAAATGAACACAGTCGTCTACCTTTTTTTTAAAAAGGTTTATGTATTTATTGGAAAGTCAGACATACAGAGAGGAGGAGAGAAGAGAGGAAGATCTTCCGTCCTATGATTCACTGCCCAAGTGAGCACAACGGCTGATGCTATGCCGATCCGAAGCCAGGAGCCAGGAGCTTCTTCTAGGCATCCCACATGGGTGCAGGGTCCCAAGGCTTTGGGCTGTCCTCAACTGCTTTCCCAGGCCACAAGCAGGGAGTTGGAGGGAAGTGGAGCTGCCAGGATTAGAACTGGCACCCATATGGGATCCTGGGGAGTTCAAGGCGAGGACTTTATGTGCTAGGCCACACCACCGGGCCCAGTCGTGCACCTTCTAATGGGAATTCCCTCAAGAGTGCCTGGGTTGAAAGGTGGAAGTTCTGCCGATACTTTTCTACATGTGTAACTCTAGATGTCCGCTGAGTGTGTATCAGCCTGGCTTTCTTCATTTTTGATTTGGGGATAATATTCTTATGACTGCTTGAGTAGTTGAAAGGTCCAAAAGAAAAGCTGAGTGATAATATTCCTGTATGAGATGGTGTGGTTGTGAAGCAGCATGGCAGGTAGACACCCTTTAGGAAATGAGCCTTCACAGAGGCTGCAGAATGTAGTCGAATGTAGTCCTTGGCAGTGCTGCTTGCTTCCTGTTCTGGAGGAAATTCTCTGAGTTCCAGGCAGTTGGAAATACAGAACCATTTTGTTGTAGCAGTTTTATAAAGTCTTGATTAATTTCACCATCTGCTTCAGTCATTACTTTATAATTTTAGATCAGTTATATTTTTCTTCTTTTATGTTTTGTAAAAATAAAAGATTGAAAGGCAGATTCAGAGATAAGGAGAAGTAGAAACATCTTCGTTCTGCTGGTTCGTTCCCACATGGCCGCAGTGGCTGGAGCCGAGCAGATCTGAAGCCTGGGAGCCATGAGATGCTTCTGAGTCTCCCACATGGTGCTTCCAGTGCTTTCCCAGGCCAGTAACATGGAGCTGGATGGGAAATGGAACAGATAGGACCAGTGCCCATATGGAAGGGCTGGCATGTGAAGGTGCAGGATTAACCTGCTAACCATTGTGCCACCCCCCTCTGGGTTTTTGCAATTAATGGAATCCTTATAGAGAATGAATTTGGGTATTTCAGTGTAAACACTTTCTTTTGTTAGAGGTCTAACATAATTCTAAATTTATGGGGTTGTCTTACTGGACTTGTCTAGGCCTGTGGCAGCATCTTACTAGTAGAACACGTCCAGACAGGTTAACTGGCCAGCATGAGTCACGTTGTGAGTTAGTGGTACAACCTGAATATGAATGCAGGTCTAGTTATGTTGTTCTCTGTGAGAACTCCTTTTAAGGGTCTGAGGTGGTAGCCTAGTGGCTAATGTCCTTGCCTTGCATATGCTGACATCCCATATAGGTGCTGGTTTGTGTCCCAGCTGCTGCACTTCCATCCAGCTTTCTGCTTGTGGCCTGGGAAAGCAGGAGGGAAGAGTCCAATTCCTTGGCACCCTGCATCTACGTGGGGGACCTCTGAGTCCTCTGCTCCTGGCTCCTGGCTTCGAGTCAGCTCAGCTCCACCATTTTGGCTACTTGGGAGTGAACTGGTAGATGGAAGATCTTTTTTCTTTCCTCTGTAAATGACTTTTCAAAAAAAAAAAAAAGGAAACGTTCTTTGTGAGACTAGCACTTGTAGATGTGTTTATGCCAAAGCCTTTTTGTAAACCCTTTTGTTTACTTCACTGTTGTGTTTTTCTTTCAGGCATACAGTTGTCCGATGTGGGCCCCACATTCTTACCTGTACCCTCTGCACCAGGCCTACCTGGCAGCCTGCAGGATGTACCCAAAGGTCCCTGTCCCTGTCTATCCTCATAATCCTTGGTTCCAAGAAGCTCCTTCTGCTCAGAGTGAAAGTGATTGTCCTTGTACCGACGCACACTTTCCTATGCAACCTGAGGCCAGTGTTAATGGCCAAATGCCACAGGCAGAGATGGGACCGCCGACCTTTTCTTCACCCCTGGTTATCCCTCCGTCTCAGGTGTCTGAAAGTCATGGACAGTTGTCTTACCCAGCTGATCTAGAATCTGAGAATCCTGGCCAGCTTCTTCATGCTGAATATGACGAATCACTAAGTGGCAAGAATATGTTCCCACCAGCGTCCTTTGGCCCTAATCCATTTCTAGGTCCAGTTCCCATAGCACCTCCTTTCTTTCCTCACGTTTGGTATGGATACCCTTTTCAAGGATTCATAGAAAACCCAGTAATGAGGCAGAACATTGTCCTGCCTTCTGATGAGAAAGGAGAATTGGATCTACCCCTGGAAAATTTGGATCTGTCTAAAGAATGTGATTCTGTTTCAGCTGTAGAGGAGTTTCCGGAAGCCAGAGGTGAAGGTGCACATTCTCTTCCTGAAACAAATGTGAGCAGTAAGCATGAAGGCCGCGCAGAGCAGTCATCCCAGACACGAAAAGCAGAGCTGGCACTGGCTTCCATTCCACCAGTAGCAGAGGCAAAGGCTCATCTTCCCACTCAGATTCTAAACAGAGAGAGAGAAATTCAGCCAGTTGAACCTGAAGCTAAAAGGACCATTCCAAGTCTGAAAGAAAAACCAGAAAAAGTGAAAGATGCTAAGACTGCTGCTGACGTGGTCAGCCCTGCGCCCAGCGCTGCGGATAACAGAGTGCAGAGACCAAAAGAAGAGAGTTCAGAAGATGAGAATGAAGTATCTAATATTCTGAGAAGTGGCAGATCCAAGCAGTTCTATAATCAAACTTACGGAGGCAGGAAGTACAAAAGTGATTGGGGCTATTCTGGTAGGGGTGGATATCAACACGTTAGAAGCGAGGAGTCCTGGAAAGGACAGCCGAGCAGAAGTCGGGATGAAGGGTATCAGTACCACCGCAACGTTCGAGGACGCCCCTACAGGGGAGATAGGAGGCGGTCCGGGATGGGAGATGGCCATAGGGGGCAACACACTTGATGGCTGTTGCTGGAGACTTTGAGGGCAGAAACCCTTTGTGAGGTGGAATGTTTCTGAAGGCTTTAACAAATACATTAAAATAAAAATCCAAATTGGAACTGTCTTCTCCCCTCCCCATGTAGCTTTGCTCCTATTCTGGACAAGAGAAATTGGACAGACCTCAAGGGGCAGGTGTATTTCTGGCATTGCCACTTCATTCATTGTCTTTGATTTATCAGGTGACTTTTCCCTTAACGATTAGGAAATAAGTTTGTTAAAGTATTTTTTATAAACAGCTTAATATAAAACATTATAGATTTAGTGTTTTATTTTCCTTGTATAAGTTTGATTTGATTTTAATGTTGGAAATGTGTGCTTTATAGTGTTTAATAAAGTGACACGAAAATACACCATTTGACACACTATAGATTCCAAAACATAACATTGCACCAAATAGAAATTATGCAATGCCTTAGTCATAAACTGGGCTCAAATAATCCTCAGCCTAAAACACTGTTGTCTTTTAAAATGCTTCCCACCCAAAGGCCTTTCATCTCAATATCTGTCAAACTTGAATAATGTCTTCTCTTTAATATTTCACTTTGGCAGCCTATTACCCATGTCTTAGAAATGTTGTAAATAGTTCTTTTAATATTAATAGGGTCTATTTTTAAATTTTGGTGAGCATTTGTTGAGTTTGAGACTGCAAACAAGAATAGATGTTTAGGAAATAGTAGGAAATCCACTGAAATCGCTGTTTCCAACAAGAATTCTCAGCACTGGTGTAAATATCATGGTGCCTATTTGAAAGTTACGTAGATGCTATGCATTTCGAAAATAATCTGCATCTGTTAAAACTGCAGAAGTTTTTTAATGCCACTTTAACACTAATGCACTGACAGATTCTAAATATTTAGAGAAGAAGTGTTAACACTTTGGCTTGACAGGTATCTGGAGCGTCCCTGTGTTTTGTTTTCTTGCCCCATTCGTTATATGTATCACTTTACATTTGCATGTTCAACTTGTCATGGCTGGAATTATTGTACAAAAAGATGATTGTGACTTCTAGGTCTTTTCTAGAGGATGCTGCTAGAGAATGGTTTTGCTTTGCATTTTAGTGTTTTTTACCCTTAGGTTACTTTTTTTTTTTGTAAAAAAAATCTTGTTTCTGTCCTTGCAGTATTCACCAGAGGTTTGCTTTGCATGTTGTACTCTATTCTTTGGACACTTTTCTCTTTTGGACTGCACAGTATTCATTCATCTGTGTTAATTTTGTAAAGTTAACTGTTGCTTGTATTTCTTTTGTACATACCAATGTGATGATCTACCTTTTTTATGTTGATCACCTTTGTATCTAGTTTGAGTGCTATGCAGATAATCTAGACTAATTTGTCTTTGCATGCCATGTGTAATCATACTTAGCCAAAACTAGATGTGGTGGCTTTGCGTGTGTGTGTTTTAAAGCAGATTATTTTAAAAGCAAATACAATTCACTTGAATCGGATGGATTAAAGCAGATTTTTTTTCTGGGTTCTCTGCTGACCTATAGGAAAGTCTGGATGCCAGCTTGGCTCAGTGAATCTCCACTGTACTGTAATAATGGTTATTTACCTCTGTGCTAGCTTACCTAATGTCTGTGTAACTGCTGATTTGCGTAGTGATTAGTGTTTAGATATTTTGTAACATAGGATTTTAGAGAGCACTTTGAAAGACAACATTTTATTATGATGGTGCTAGGTAAAATTTTGAAGAGTGAAATGGTTGTGTGACAAAATTTCTTGGGGAGAATCTGTGGATAGGAATTTGTTGTCACCTGACAAGCTAGACCATTTTTGAAGGTACTGCCTAAGCCAATTGTTTGTTACTATCAGTGGCTGAATTATGGATGAGATGTTTAGAGGGTCCTCTACTTTCAACTCATGCTTTTTTTTAGTGTAGGATTAGTGTACCTGTTCATTATTGTGAAAATCACATTCTGAAATGAATACCGATTTAAAAGTTGAATATGTTTGATCTCAGGAGTCCAAAAGAAGTGTCTGTTTCCAGTTTCCGTCATTACACTTACTGGGGTTTGTGCTCAGTTTTCTGGAAATGATCAGAAATTGGATGGGGAAAGAATGCTTAACTTTCTTCACTGTCTTACCTCAATTGAGTAACAATACTCTACAGCTCCTGAAGGAAACACTGATTTGCTCCCTGTTTCCTGGATCTCACCTCTAGGGCATGATGGAAACAGTGCTGAATGGTACTTTTCTCAGTGACCTCTGGAATAACAGAATTCTGAATTTTGTTAGATTTTAAAACTTTAATCTTTGCATGAAGGTCAGTTTTGTTTCTTCCTTTAGGTTTGTTTTTAAATGTCGTAGTCTAGTGGATTTTGCCTTGTGCTGAGGTCAAACTAGGGCCAGGCAGATGGACATACTGTATGTGTTGGCACGAGATTTTCTGTGTAAGAAAAAATGATGCAAGAGTATAGAACTGAATCATTGGTATTTGATTTGGAAACAACAAAACTTTATTCATACACATTTTGAAGAATAAGTGTTTAGACTGACCAAAGCTCACCTGTCCTTTTTCAGTTAGGTGCTTTTGTTCAACTTGATCTTGGCTCCCTTGTGGTGTAGTATGTGTATCTTCCAGGTTTTTCCCCCTCAGACGTACCTTTAACTCTTACCGGTGGCAGGATGTTTGTGTCTTTTACTCCCATGCTGTTCCTGGTAACCTGCAGATTCACTGTTTTATAGACCCAAGCTCAGACCTTGTCTTTGAACTGGCACAGATTAGGTTTTCTCAAACCACAGTGCTGATCCAGCTTATTTGATGCAAACCCTATATTCTTACAGTGTGTTCTTTCCTTTGTGACTCAAGGGTAAATTAAATGCCTGTGAACTGCAAACTCGCGTATGATTGACTTGGTGCAATAAAATTCTAACCATTTCTGGTTTAGGAAATGTTCAGCCATCTTAAAAACTAGCAATATTTATTTTTGCCTCACTTGTTTTACTTTCAGTTGTCTTTCACTTATGGGTACTTAAGCAAGGTCCATTCTAGTGTAGCTGAGGGGAATGTATATTTGGCTACACTGTTTCCTGTTTACTCTTGTTTGCTCACTGTTTTGTCTAAATGCTATTGTTTTGGTTAACTCTTAATGGCTCACTTCCAGTGCATCAGTTTCAAAGAACTGAGGTTTTGCTACTAGTGTTAGCTATTTAATCTCCCACTATAATTTTCCTAAAGAATTTTTCCCCCCAAGATAAGTTTTAGAAAATCATTTATGGGGTGGGTGCATGTCTTAATGCTGAGAAGCAGTGACTTTGGGGCTGAATTTACTTGAATGGATTAAAATTGCATTTGTTACAGAGCTAGAAAAAAATGTATGGGAAATGATAATAGCCTTACACTGAGTAAAATAATACGTAAAAGCATGTGAAGATGTGATCATTTGTGATGTTACTTGTAAAAAAAAGTATATATATATATATACATATCTTTTGAAGTGTTGAAAGGAACATAGTACTTTATATTCTTTATCATATCACCTTTTGTAAGTGTTGAATATATTCCTGTTTATTTTTCTATGTTCTGTTTTGTAGCCTTAAGAAGTGTTTCAAACATATCTGAATGTATAAAATAAGAGTAAATGCCCTACATGGTGTGATGCTGCATTATATAAAAACTGTGTGCATATATTAAATTTTGTCTCCTGAATCCTGCTAGTGATTCTTTGATTCCTGGGTAATCATATAAACATTCAGAGGAACTTTAGTCAACTAGAAGAAGGTTTCTGTGGTGCTACTGGATGAGAAGATAATTATTGTGGGATTTTTAACCTACAGAACAGGCATTTTTCTTAACATGATGATACTGAGACCAAGACCAAACTAATTAAATTTGTAGTTGAATCTAGGTCCACATATATGTGCAGCTAATGTTAGCCTAGCAAAGCAGATGCAAAGACAAAGCTCTCCTTTAGTGTAGCTGTATAATTGAAGTGATCTGGGAACAGCAGCAAGCTGGGAGAGGCACCAGTACATACAGAGGTAACAGACTGGTTCGGCTGTTTGGGACTTTTGCTTAGGACTACTTCAAGAGAACTTTGAGAGGGATGGAATAAGAAAGAAGCATCCGTTGCTCAGCTGCAAATCAGAAAAACCAGGGTGTGGTGTGGAAAATTTGCGCTCCCCTGTCTGGAGTCTTGCAGAACTGGCTAAATTAGCAAGTGGACAGGGCAAGGTGAGACAGTGGTCCTCAAGGAGACCCCAAAATAAGGTTCAACTTGCAGAAGATGGCTTCATGATGCTTTTCAGTCAGAAAGCACCTTTGTGGGAATAAATCCACACAAACAAGCTGTCCTTCAAAGTAGGCACGACTCACTTGGTATAATCCCACTTTTGTGCAAGTACAAAACCAACCATGTACACATTCACAGTATGTAACGTGCACAGAAAAAGCAGGGTCGAACATTACAACCATGGGCAATCTTTGGAAGGGTATTAAAGGGTGGTCGTTTTTTCAAAAAATTCCATATAAGACTTAATTTTTTTAAGAACAGATAAGCATTTGCAGGTTATTCACATCAATTCTGTTTAGATTGTCTTGCTCAGTTAAACCACTTGTTGGCTTCAAGGTGTCTTCAGATGCTGTCAATTTCAAATTCCCCTAGTTTGCTTGTCCCATTGTTACTAAACCTTCACAAGTTTCAGTTCAGTGCCTTCCTTTGAAATAGTTTAGGTGGTTTGGGACAGCAAGTATCTTGCTTAAAATATTTAATTGGATAATTGTGAAGTTATACTGTACAGGTAAACTAAAAATAGAAGCTTTGGGAACAACCTCCACACGACTCAGAAATGCACACATCTGGTACCAAGGGAAGGATACGCAACGTTCTCCACAATCCCGTTAATGTCAATATAAGGAAGTGGTAAAAATCCTTGCCTGCTCGTCTCTCTGGAAGTTTACAGAAACAGGTAATACTTGGCATACTTGTGTAAATCTTAAAATGGCATAATGGTAGTTACAGAATAGTCTTATAAAGTGCAAAAACAAAGTTTTTGTTATGGGAGGGATTATGGAAACAACATGTTCAAAAGCACTAAGTGCTTCTAAGATAATATCTGTTTTTCTAATGGTGCTTTTATCATTTCCTTGGGAGTAATATAGTGCACAGACTGAAGACAAGTAACAAATAGAATTCCCAGGTTTATTTATCAAATCTCATTAATGGAGTCTTTGACGGTCTTAGAAAATAAGGACAATTTCATTATACTGGCGTATAGTCAGCAGGCAAACCAGTCAAGCACAGGAACTAATTGCAGGACTTTTTTAAGGGAGCAACACTGGTCAGCCATTTGGTCAATGAATATGTTAAATGTATTGAAAATCTTCCCACACATTATGAAAACTTGGAGGTAATTTGTGCAGCTTGAAATGTCTTCATTTTAGAATATGCACAGAAAGCGCCTCATCATGAAAATCTCCAGAAAAGTGCATTTGCTGTGTTCACACTACAATTTATAATTCAACAGGCTTTGATGTGCATCAATTATACTTCAAGTTCCAGAGTGTGTGGGGGCACAAAACCTGATTAAAGTTTTATATGACAAATCCCAGTCAATGTTTAATAAATGGCTTCTTGATATCCTTAGATTCAGTCTAATCATCCAAGAAAAAGTAATTTCCACTCTTCTTTTGTTCTACATCCTAAAAAAGAAGTAACAAAAATCAGCACCATCTTCTGTCACATAAACATACTTTTAAAAATACTGTTTAAAATCTTTATTGGAAAGGTCCACTGGTTCACTCCCGAAGCAGCCAAAATGGCTGGAGCTGAGCCAATCCAAAGCAGGAGCCAAGAGGTCACCACACGGTTGCAGGGTCCCAAGGCTTTGGACCATCCTCTACTGCTTTCCCTGGCCATAAGCAAGGCACTGGATGGGAAGTGAAGCAGCCAAGACACAAACTGGCACCCATATTGAGATCCTGGGGCTTGCAAGGCAAGGATTTAGGCACTAGACCATTGTGTCGAGCCACTAAAGCTAGATTTTTTCCACGGGGCTACTTAACAGCAGTGTTTACAACAGGGCGCAAAGAGCAACTGCACTTGCCACCACCTCCTAGGTGTTCCTGGGCACATCACAGGAAACCAAGATTGCTAATAAGCTTTGCATCCCTGTTACTAGTTCATTCACAGCAATGCAAGCAAAGTGTATTTACATATATAAAATCTGTCAAATGTCTTATATTTCTGGGAAAATAAATTCCACTTTTCATGCTTGAACTTCAAGTTCTGGTTTGAGGGGTATAATAGTGTTAGTCTCACAATTATCCATTACACAAAATATACATGAAACATGTTTTGGCCAATACTGTTTGAAGACTATTCATAGTAGTCTACCTCGGTAAGTGCTCAGTGTAATGGCTTGTTAGGATACAGAACTGAGTCAGTACCTGGTACACTCGGGGACTGAATCGCATGTTCACAACACATCCAAAGTAGTCATAAATGTTTCAGGAGAAAATCTGGAGCTTATTTTGCTTAATATTTTTCAGAACTGAGAAAGTTCTTAGAAGTCACAATTTGTCATTTCTTTATGTTGGCAAGGGAGTAACATCATTTGGCAGGCAGACACACTATTTGGTACTTAAAAATACAATTTATGTACAAGTATGCAAAATGGCAAAATTGTGCCACTGGACTTCCCAAATCACGTGGTTTAGTAGCAAAACTGGCATATGTAAACAGCTATAGCAGAGGATATACACAGACAGTTAAGAATAGACTGTGAGATGAAGGCCTGTCCCGACACTGCAGCTGAAGCTGCTGCTACATCTGCATATAGGCCCCACTGCAGAGCAGGGAAGTATGGCCCAAGTGCTTGGATCCTTGGTTCCTGCTCCCACACAGGGGACCTGGCTAGCTCAGTTCTGGGCAACACGGTCATTTGGGGACTGAACCAGCAGACAGAACATATCCCAAACTCTTCCTTGCAAGTAAATCATCTTGGAGAGATTCATTGCAGTATCTTGAATAGCAACACATTTTCTTTTTAATGATCCAGATTTTTGCCTTTTAAAAACACTGTGTTAGACTAAGGCAATTAGGTCACATAATTACGATACAAAGATAAAACACTGCCAATTACGCTGATGATGGTTTTCCACTAAGATTTTTATGCTCATCACTGGAGCTTATTCAGAACTTTACAAAATTGCAACTATTTTTAAAGAAATAGCATTTTATTTTTTATGGCAAAGGAATAGTCAGTCATAATTTCAGACATACCTTAATTGAGTTGAGCTTATTTATTCGTGGCCTATAATTGTTTGGATCTCTTCTGAATGTAATTTCAAGCTGAGACAAAAATTTATTCATGCCAGCCAAAAGGGTCTGAGGACTGAGGGGAAAGAAAGAACAATTTTGATTAAATTTCCCCCTTAATTGCAACCCTCTTCAGGAGTGAACAGTGCTAAGAATCATCTTCCTGTAGTTTCCAAATCCTAACCACTGTGGATAGTAGTGGTGTTATTGTAGTGCATCATAACCACTGCGTATGATAGTATTATTATAATACAGTACACCATAAGTCATCAGAAATGACTTTGCTTCGATTACAAGTTTGCCTGGGTATAATTTTTTTGTGTTTAAAATCAACACAGTTTAAATTGTTCTGGTCTGGAATATCAAACACCGAGGACAGAATCATCTTTGAAAAAAGTTTTTCAAGTGAGATTAATGACTACTTGCTATCTTTAAGGGAGAAGAAAATTTAACAAAGTTAAAGTTACCTATTTTACAACTGTGGCATCAGAGGAATACATGCGTATAAACCTGTTTCAATAATAACTTTCCAAAGTTCTATAGTTTATTCATTGATTTACCCACGACAGATTTTAGCTCACACAAAATCATATTCTAAGAAAACTATCTCTTCAAGAAATAAAATTCTCCAATTGTTAAGTTGAAAACTTAAACACTGAGGGGAGAAGGGAAAGTACTTTTACTATGAATTGTTCAAATAGCAACTCTGTTCTTCCCTCTACTACGAAAATACTCTGTTGAAATGACATGTAATTGCTCTTTGTTTAGGTGAATTGTTCCACATGGTTTCACTTAATAGGTTTTAGCACTAGAAGAAACTCTCATAAACAGATTAGAATGTAAGGTTTATATACTCTACTGTTCAAACTAACTGGTAAAAATGAGAAGAAACAGAGACTGTGAAGTTCTTCTCTGCTGTAAATCAACACCTGGACCCACTGCTGGATGCAGTTACCAACAGGACAGTCAGGCTGGCCAATCAAATCACCCTGAAAAATCACCTCTGTGGATTTCTTCTTCTTGTGATGCATGCACAAAATAACACTATACAAGATATGATCTGTAATAATAAACCCCTATTTTGATATCTAAACAAGAAAGCAAACAAAATGTAGAAAACACATGGGACTAGAGCTTAATGCACTAGGTCAAACATTTCCATACTGCAGCTGGAAACCATTCAGTTCTCAATAACCTTAGGAGTCATAAAATTAGGTTCAGAAAGTCAGACATACAGGCAGGAGGAGAGACAGAGAGGAAGACCCTCCATCCGATGATTCACTCCCCAAGTGACCACAATGGCTGCAGCTGAGCTGATACGAAGCCAGGAGCCCGGAACTTCCTCAAGGGTTTTTTTTTTGTGTGTGCTTAAAATCAACACAGTTTAAATTGTTCTGGTCTGGAATATCAAACACCGAGGACAGAATCATCTTTGAAAAAAAGAAGATTCTTTTCTTCGGCCGTCCTCTACTGCTTTCACAGCCCACAAGCAGGGAGCTGGGGAGTGGGGCCACTGAGATCAGAACTGGTGCCAATATGGGATCCTGGCGCATTCAAGATGAGGACTGTAGCCACTAGGCCACCGCACCAGGCCCGTGTTGATTATTTTTCAAAAAATGAAAAGTGGAATGATAATGCTATAAGCTCAATGGAAAATTTAAAATGCAGCAATATGCTAATCATTAGCTTTACAGCTGACTTTGAACATTTGAAAAAATAGATTTACCTATTTGCAACTGTGTTCTTTGATGGAATGCCGTCAAAAACAATGACTCGATCTGCTAGGTAGGTGGCCATGATGAAGTCGTGCTCCACAACAAAAGCCGTCTTCTTCGCATGGAGTATGAAGCTAAAACATTTCAAAATATTTTGCAGCTTTATTATAAGACTCCAAATGTCCTATTAAATACATGTATATGCTAATAGATGAAATCAAAATTAATGAACTTGTAAGTATTTACCGTTTGACAACTCGAGCTGCCATCAATCTCTGCTCAGAATCCAAGTATGCAGATGGTTCATCGATTAAATAGACGTCAGCAGGTTTGCCCAAACAAAGAGCTAAAGCTACTCGCTGTAGCTCACCACCAGATAATGTCTGTACCTAATAAAGTTTAGAAAACCATGTAATAACATTCAAAGTACAAATTAATTAAAAACAAAAACAACCCAGACACTGTTAAGAGTACCTCTTGATCGATGATGTTTTCAATCTGCAGAGGTTTCATCACATCGGTCACAAACTGCGGATGAGTGTAAGCATCCCTTATCTTCTCGTGTAATAACTGGCGTACACTTCCCTGTTTTTAACAGAAAATGCATTTCAATGATAAAATTTCAGCAGACCTGCTCTGTGACACAGTTACATTCCAGGGCAAAATTGTCATTTAACATCAAGACAATAATTATATTTTTAATTCTTAAAACCAATCATGTTTAACAAATTAAAATCCAGTAATAATCTGGCACTGTGAAGTAGCAGGCCATATGGGCACCAGTTTGAGACCCACTGCTCCACTTCCAATTCAGCTCCATTTTTATGGCCTGGGAAAGCAAAGGATGCCTGAGTATAATATGTTTGAGTAAAACCAAGGTTTGGGCTCCTATACCTAACAGGGAGACCTGGGTGAAACTCCCTGTTCCTGAATGGACCAGCTCCAGCCACCATGGCCATCTGGGCAATAAACCAGTACATAAAAGATCTGTCATTCTGACTCCCTTCTCTCAGTAACTACTCTTAAAACAAAATTAAAATATATCCTAAAAAACCAAAGTCTGAATGAAGAAATGACTGTTTCAGGGAGAAAAGTGTATGACACTTGGTATGCTTGTGAAGGTCAGAGTACCACCACGTCATCTCGGCCATTCCTCAGCGGTAACCCAGACGCCCTCCGTGTGCTGCTTCTCAGTTATCAATGCTAGATTCACTGTAAGTGAAGCCATTTACTACCTGATGGACATCAGGGCTGCAATCACGTGCAATTCCTACGTTGAGCCACTCTTACGTGTATGCCTAGCAGTACAGCTGCTGGTCCACATGGTCACTGACCAACCTTAGGGCTTGTCAGATTGTTTTTCAGAGACTCTACCACTTTAGAGCCCTACCAGCAATCCCGTAGGTCCTAAGGTTTCCACATTCTTATAGTCAGCTGGACCGTCTTTGGTTATAAAGTGACATCTCACTATGACTTTAATTTATATTTCCCATGTGACTAATGAAGAAAAATAAAAAGAGGAAAGAGGGCACATTTTAATCTAGGGGGTGTAATTTTCTGAAGACAATATAAACAAACATATACCAAATAACTTGACATCCCTTCTCTTCCACTTGTACAAATAAGAAAATGTGCAATGCATGTTCTCTGGCTTGTTTCAGATAAACACTACTATCTCTATTTACCATTTTTGTTCCAGGTGTAAAGATTTCATTTTTTTTTTATGGCAGAGTAATAATCCACTATTAGTTTCTTTATCCTTAGAGACTGGGTTGATCCCATAGTTTTGCTATTATTAAAAGCACTATAATTAATAATGGGAGTGCAAGTATCTTTCATATGCTGAGTTCATTTCCTCGGGATTTATTCCCAAAGATGGAAAGCTGAGTTATATAACATACCTATTTTTTTGAGAAACTGCCTTACTGTTTTCAATAATGGCTGTATCAATTTGTATTCTCACCAAAAGCATATCAGGGTTCTTATCTCCACAACCTTTTCTGCATTTGCTTTTTGATCATGGCTCTTGTAACGGAAGGCAAGGTGATATTTCATTGTGGTTTCAATTTCCTTTCTCTGATGGTGTACCAATATGTTTTTTGGTTGTATGTGTTTTTTTTTTTTCCTTAAAAAATGCCAATGCATTTTCACAGCTGGATTGTTTTGCTGCTGAATCTCCATAGTTCCTCATATATTCTGGGTATTAATGCTTTATCACAGGCAGTTTGCAAATATTTTGTCAGCTGTTTCTTCATTCTGCTGAATGCTTCCTTTGCTGTAAAGAAGCTCTTAATGTGAGAAAACCTCACTTGGATAGTTTTGTTTTACTGCCTGTGATTTTACAGTCTTAGCCACAAAACTGTTGCCTATACAAATGTACTGAATTGCTTCCCCCATGTTTTGGTTGTTAATATATTTTGGATGCAGGTTCCATATTGTATATATAATGTGCAAATGCCTTCTTTCTTAGAGTACTCTATTACATGCCTGATGGTGTTTTTGGTAGCACAAAATACATTAGATTTCTAATGATTTATTTTGTGAAAAGATGGTGGATTTCAACAGCTCTCTGCTACTAGGGGAAATAAATCATCTCCTGTCAGTATATTCATTAACCACTTTCAATAAACCTATTCAGAACTGAACCTGTACAAGAATTTTAATAAAAGATTAAGTGAAATGCAAATAAATAAAATTTTCTTTAATAGTAAGTGTAAAAACTCACAGTTGATTTGGGACTGATCTTTTGTGGCTTATAACTGACATTTAGGACTGGTACTTCTCCTGCAAAATAGAAAACCATTAGGCATTCAAAACTGTCCGAATCTTTAATGTTTAAAATTGTGTGCAACAGAGTAAAGAGACTCAGTAACAGTACCTCCTTCATCAGGCTTAAGTCGTCCAGCAAGCATTCTGATAAATGTTGTTTTCCCTGTACCTGACAGTGCAAGAGAACAAAGTGACTGGAGATGTTTCACATTTAAGAGCAAATAATTCTGTTCTACATGATTTTAGTGGAGAAGATTTTCCTGGTATGCAATGGCACTATTGAATTCTTTCTTTTTTTTTAAAAGAGATTTTATTTATCTGTTTTTATTGGAAAGGCAGATATACAGAGAGGAAGAGAGATAGAGGAAGATCTTCTCTCTGATGATTCACTCCCCAGGTGACCTTGGTAGGAGCTGAGCTGATACGAAGCCATGAGGCAGGAGCTTCTTCCGGGTCTCCAACATGGGTGCAGGGTCCCAAGGCTTTGGGCCGTCCTCGACTGCTTTCCCAGGCCACAAGCAGGGAGCTGGATGGGAAGTGGAGCTGCCGGGATTAGAACCGGTGCCCATATGTGATCTCAGCACGTTCAAGGCGAGGACTTTAACCACTACACTATGCTATTGCGCCAGGCCCCTGCAATACTGAATTCTAAAAGTTACACACCTTATCTTGCAAGGGAGAGGGCATTCCACATACTGCTTAGAATAGCTGCCATGGTTTAATCCAGTTTCCTACTAAGGTGCACCCTGAGATATAGCAGGGAAAAGCTCAAGTTGTTGGGTCCCTGCCTTCTTCGTGGCAGACTCAGACTGAGCTCCCAGCTCCTGCTCCCCCTGCTCCGGCTGTGGCTGTCCAGAGCACTGGGGACTTGTGGGATTCTGCTCTGCAAACTGATGAATCATTTTAAGCTAAAGGATCATTATAACAGCCATTTTAACAAAGGATAGACCTGTAGAGTTGAAGTCCTGGGATTGTGGAAACAATTCTTTAGTAGCATTATCAGTGTACACAATCAAGATAACACGCATGTTTATGATCTCATCATCTTACATTTCATTTGCATTTTATGTAAATATGTATAATTGCAATATATTAGTTGCAATATATTAGTTGCAATCCAATTTAAAATTTCCACATTTAATTGAAGCCTGATAAAAAAAAATTAAGCAGAATATTTCTATTACAGTTCTAAACTGCCGAATACAACTCTTATTTTTTTTTAAGTCATAAAACTAATAAACACATCATTAAATATTGAAATTCACCTTCTTTTAATATGAACAATGCTGGAATATAGGCAAGGCGTTACGGTGCATAGCAAGCCACTGTCTGAGGCATCAGTGACTCACACAGGCACACTGGTTGCACTCCTGGGTGCTCTACTTCTGACCCAGCTGCCTGCTCATGTGCCCGAGAAGGCACTGGAAGAATGGCCCTAGGGTTTGGACCCCTGCCATCCAGATGGGAGACTGGATGAATATACTGGCTCCTGGTGTTTGCCTGGCACAGTTACAGGTATTCAGGCTATTTGGAGACTCTCTAACGCAGCCTTTCAAACAAGTAACTTAAAAAAAACAATGCTGGTAATATTCAAAAGGTAAGTCATCCTAATCTAAAATAAGTTTCAGGACTGGCAGAGTGGGGTAGCATGCTAAGCCTCTACCTGCAGCAATGGTACCCCACCCATATGGGCATTGCACGGTTCTAATTTTCATGACTGCATTTCCAATCCAGTTCCCTGCTTTGGCCTAGGAAAGCAGTGGAAGATGGCCCAAGTCCTTAGGCTCTTTCACACACAAGGGAGACCAGGAAGAAACCCCCGGTTCATGACCTTGGATCAACTCAGCCCCAGCCTCTGTGGCCATTTGGGGAGTGAACTAGAGAATGGGAGATCTCTTTCACTCTTACATAGCCTTCTCCAGAAAAATAAGAATAATGAATCTTTAAAAAAAAAAAGGCGGGGGTGGGTGGGTGGTTGGGGGGCAATATGGTCTGGTGAGGTAGCCTAGTGGCTAAAGTCCTAGCCTTGCCCATGCCAGGATCCCATATGGGCGCTGAATCATGTGCTAGCTGCTACACTTCCCACCCAGCTCCCTGCTTGTAGCCTGGGAAAGCAGTACAGCACGGCCGAAAACCTTGGGACCCTGCACCCATGTGGCAGACCAGGAAGAAACTCCTGACTTCGGATTGGCTTAGCTCCGGTGATGTGGCCACCTGGGGAGTGAAACAGAGTATGGAATATCTTTCTCTCTCTTCTATGTATCTGCCTTTCCATTAAAAACAAATAAGCCATTAAAAGAATTCCAAATGAAAGTATACCAAGCTAAAAAATTCTAAACTAGATATGAATTACCAATGTTTTTCTTCCTAATCAGTACACAAGATGAGTAACAGAAAAGCCAGCTTAGAAAAAACTCTTTTCACCAAAGGTTATGAAACAAATCTCAACCTGAGATAATGTTAAGATTAAATTATACAATGCTACAAAATTGTAATGCTACACTAAAAGATCAGCTGACAAAATTTTTCATGGGCTGACTGAGAATAATTTCCTGAATGAAAGACTTCTTACAGATCATAAAATAAGAAAAACTTACCATTCTCTCCCAGCATCACCATGATTTCCGAATCTGTGAATTCTCCAGCTACAATTGCTAGCTCAAACTCTCCCATCTTTTTCTTCATTCCTGGATATTTGTACATGCACATCTTTTTAACTTCTTCTTCATTTGCTGTCTCAGCCACTTTAAAAACAAGTGATGCATCTCTGAATCTTAAGTTTTCTGTTGGAACATAGCCATCCAAGAAAATGTTTATACCTGTTGGAAAGAATATTGTTAACAGATTAGTAAAGATAAATTAGAAACTGAACTTTTTCAAGATTCTATGCTCTTTTGGAAGGAATCTAAGTGTAGATTTTTGAGATTTTTATGGAATTTTCATAATACGCAGGACTACATATAATGTAGGACATATTTTCTCATGCATGACAATTTTAACTGGCTCAACCATATATCTTTCGGAAGTTTACGAGTACATCCCCCAACACACATTCTTTCATTATTATGTGATTTTTACTAGTATAAGATTCTTTTCCCATTAGGTTATAGCTTCATTATTCAAAGATAACCAAGATTATCTAAAAACATTTTATTAATCAAAGTAAACAAACATTACATCTGAGAAACCTGTTCTACAGTAAATTGTTATTACTTTTTAAAGATTTGTTTATCTGAGAAGCAGAGTTACAGAAAGACAACACAAGCTCGGCTGTGCACCGTGACTAGATCAGGGCAGGCTGCAGCAGGGGCCTGGGGTTTTATCCAGTTCCCCACGGGGCAGACAGGAGGCCGAGCACTAGGGCCATCTCCACTGCTTTTCCAGGCTAGCAGCAGGGAGCTGGACAGAGCTCAGCAGCAGGGACTCCAGCCAGCGACCATTTGGGTGCCAGCATCACAGGTAGCATCTTCCCAAACAACAAAAGATCCCCCTTGTCAATGCTTCCCAGAGAAACAGAGAAAGCAGCAGAAATCTGGCAAGTTCTTATTAGAGAAGCTACGCATGCTATTTATGTCATTTAGAATTAAGAGCCACAGCTCAGGCCCAGGTCCAAAGGTAGAATACTGTGCTAACAGAATACATCAGGAGATACATTTTTTTTAACCAGAATCTCAACTTTACATTTTTAAACTATCAAAAATTTAAAATGAAAAAGTAAAAAGCTACAATAGAAATTATATAAAAACGTGGTTAGAGGAACCTTAGCAGTCACTTATCCGAGGGATAATTCATCAAATTGGAATAAAAACTCAAAGCCAAAGGGTTTAAAATATGAGAGGTCAACTTCATAGTCCTGACACACTGCTTACTGTAATTAAAAAACAGAGCCCAAATTTAATCATGCTCCATAGTTCATAGAGCTTTTATATACTTGGCCTTCACTTTTGTATATCAAAGGAAAGAAGAAATAGCTTCTTACTGTCACTGTTTCTTTTTTTTTAATTTATTTTTATTGGAAAGGCAGATATACACAGAGGAGGAGAGACAGAGGAGGAAATAAAAATCTTATGTCTACTGATTTATTGCACAAGTGGCTGCAAGGTTGGAGCTAAGCCAATCTGACGCCAGGAGCCTAGAGCCTCTTTTGGGTCTCCCACACAGACACAGGGTCCTAATGCTTTGGGTGTCCTCGACTGCTTTCCCAGGCCACAAGCAGGGAGCTGGATGGGAAGCAGGACCACTGGGACTAGAACTGGCATGCAAGGAGAGTACATTAGCCACTAGGCTGTAGCACTGGATCCACTGTAATTGTTTTTAAAAGTAAGGCAAGTCAAATCTCACTAGGAATCATATCTTGAATTACAGTCAATTACACAGTTTCTTTAACTGAAATGGTAAAGAGTGATTGCTGAGTATCAGAAACATTAATCTCATTCTGGAACTTTCAATATAGTGTAGAGTAAGACACTAATCATCTTTGTTATCATTCCTTAACACAATGGACAGGAAAACTGAATATTCATCACTTCACCAAAGTATGCACCTAAAAGATGCAACCATTATAAAGTATCTAACCTATTTTTTTAAAGAAAGAGAATAAAATAAGAAACTATTGCGTTTGATGTTCTACATTGCCAGCTTAAATGCAAAAATACAAAGTAAATAAAACAGTAGAAGAAAAATGAGAAAAAAACTGAAAGAAAAGTTTCAAGGGCATTATTATTTGCTTCTAGAGTCATTTAGCGGTGGGCAGTTTTTACGTTTGCTAAATTTGCAGACAAAAAAACATTCTGTTTTCAAAAAAGTAGAATGAATGAATGAAAATTGAAATACACTAATTATGCTTTTTAGGTATTTTCAACTCCACAAACATGGCATATAGTTTATACACAAATTTGAAACATGAAAGGAATAACTGAAATTTTAAGTTTTGTTAAAAGTATCTGCTTGTCAAAGACAAATTTCAAGAAGACCAATGATTTGGCAGAAGCAAATCATATGACAGGAGAAATCCTAAGACTTTAAATCCTATATGGGTGCCAGTTCGAGACCAGGCTGCTCCACTTCCCATCCAATTCTCAACTGTGGCTTGGGAAAGCAATGGAGGATGGCCCAAAGCCTTGAAACCCTGCACCCGTGTGGGAGACCTAGAAGAAGCTCCTGGTTCCTGGCTTTGGATTGGTTCAGCTCTGTCCATTTGAAGCCATTTAGGGAGTGAACCAGCAGAATTCTGTCTCTCCTTCGCTCTCTCTAAACCGGCCTTTCCAATGAAAATAAATGTTAAAAAAAAAAAAGGCACTCTGATGCACTGAATAGAAAATTTTATGAAACAGAAACACTTTTTATATAAGCACGGTTTCAATGAGCCTTATGAATATACATGAGACGCTCCACGATTTATAATAGATCTATATTCTTCATAAGCTGAAATGCAACTAACTTACCAAATATCACAGCTTAGAAACCTTTGGCCAACTGGTTGCTTCCCTAAGAACTCCCTGCTCCCAGGGACCTACATTTGCAGCTACTGCCAAGTTATTTAAACAGTTTTTACCTGTCCAGTTCTAGGCAGGGAAAACACAAAAGCTCAAAATTTCAAGTACTTTTTCTATCATATATCACTTTTGCACCACAGTAAACATGAAATGAAATCAAGCATCATTTGTCATCTGTTGTGATTAAATTCCAAAAGACAAAAATGTCTGATGAATGTTAGATATATAAATACAAAACTACTTCCTGTGAATAATAATGTACGTTGTTGCATTAGAACAGAAGAGAAAGGTGAATGGAAACAGTCCAGGTTACCTTCTCTTACACTAAAAGGCATTGTGACAACCCCGTAGGCGCTGGGCACACCATACAAACAGCAAATGAAGTCAGACAGGTAGTCTAACACGCTTAGATCGTGCTCCACCACAATGATGTACCTGGAAATCAAAAGTTACTTTAACTTCCAAATTTAAAACATCATATGCAATTAGCTGAAATTCTCTCAAAATTTTTGCAAAAGTTACAAATTTTAGGAAAAAAACATTTAAAACATGCATGCTAAACATTAAGCAAAAGCCATGAAACATTTTCCATATTCATATCGATGCTCATTTTTAAAGGTATTTATGTCTGAAAGACAGTCACACAGGAAAAAGACAGACACTGAGAGATCTAGAGTATGTTGATTCACTCTAGCTCAAACAACTGCGGCTGGGCCAGGCCAATTTTAGGGGTCTCCTTATGAACAGGGAGTAGAAGAACCCTTTACTGGCTTCCCACCCATAACAGAAGGAGCCGCACTGAAGTAGAACAATCCAGACTTCAGCTGGCATCCACATGGGATGCTGGAGGCATGGGCGACAGCCTACCTCACTACACCACAATGTCAGCCTCAAGTACTCAATTCAACAATGGCTTCCTAAACTAAGAAGAAAACAGCTAATTAAAAAAAATTATTTTTATCAGAAAGTCAGATTTAAAGAGAGAAGAGACAGAAAGAGCTTCCGTCCATTGGTTTGCTCCCTATGTGGCCCCAATAGTCAGAGCTGAAACGATCAGAAACCAGGAGCCCGGAGACTCTTCTGGCATCCCATGCAGGTGCAGGGTCCCAAGACTTTGCACTAACATCCTGTATTGCTTTCCCAGGCCAGAAGCAGGGGTTGAACTGGAAGTGGAACAGGTGTTATATAAACTCGCACCCATATGGGATCCAAGATGATGCAAGGCGAGGACTTTAGCTACTAGGCTATAGTGCCAGGCCCCAAAACCAGCTAATGTGAAGTTCATGCATACATATGAAAAAATGTGCTGCTCAAAAAAATCATTAATGCACTTCTGGTAATGTACTAAGCCTTGAACTTGCTCTGTCCCACTTAGCTGCTGCAGAAGGCAAAAAAAGACTGCACAGAACGTAAGTGGAGAAGACACGAAACAAATATGAAAAAGCAACAAAAAGTGTGCCACATGGCAAAATATTCTATATAGATAATTAAATGCACTGAAGGTCACACTAACACTGGGCCCATGTATTTTGGAATTTTTTTTTTAAAGATTTATTTATTTTTATTGGAACAGCAGATATACAGAGGAGAGACAGAGAGGAAGATCTTCCATCCAATGGTTCACTCCCCAAGCAGCTACAATGGCCAGAGCTGAGCCAAGCAAAAGCCAGGAGCAGCAACTCTTCCTGGTGTCCCACATGGGTGCAGGGTCCCAAGGCTTTGGGCTGTCCTCAACTGCTATCCCAGGACACAGGCAGGGAGCTGGATGGGAAGCAGGGCTGCCAGGATTAAAACCGACTACCATATTGGATTCCAGCGCGTGCAAGGCAAGGACTTTAACCACTACGCTATTGTGCCGGGCCCTGGAATACTTTTTCCATGAGATGGGATATCACATGAATGTGAAATGGATAGACTTAAGTGAGAAAAAAAAATGTCTTCTTTTCTAGATGGGGCCAGTAGCATGCTACCAGGCTGCAACAGCCTCATCTTTCACCCTGAGGTGCTAGCATCTGACAGAGGTGCTTGTTCATGTCCCAGCCCCTCCACTTTTGATCTAGCTCTCTGCAGGTGGCCTGGGAAGGCAGCAGAGCCAGGCCCAGGGGACCCTGTATTCATGTTGGAGACCTGGAAGAGGCAGCTGCAGATCAACTCAGCTCTGGCCACTGCAGCCATTGCAGAGTGAACCAGAGGAGGGAAGATCTTTCTGCCTTCCCAATACAAATAAATCAATTTAAAAAAAAAATTTTTTTTTTCAAGTCTTCTAGATATCTCAAGCCACAACATAATCTATCAGTTTCTTGCACAAAAGCAATTTATATTAATGAGACTATCATTCCCACTAAAAACCCATTTCATTCTTACTGATATACTAAACTGTTATGTGCACTTTTTCTGAGCAGTATCTTAGATGTAAATTTCCCCTCTTTCTTTCCTGCCTAAATTATACTTCAGACTTATTGTACTTGTCTCGATGTTGTTATAACTCTGGACAAATCTCTCTTCAGGTCCTCTGATTTAATTTTATAATCCAGCAACCCTACAATATGTTTAGATTTTCCTTTCCCAAATTTTAGCTACTATCTCTGTTACTTCATTAATACATAGCAAACACTAAAATATGGATTTTTTTCGCCTTGAATAATCAACTTGTCCATCTCTACCAAGTGTCTATCACTTACTATGCTTTTAATTTCTATATTTGGTATTTTAGACATTTACCTACAGCTTGTTTGAAATAGCAATTATTAGAGTTTGAGCTATTAAATATTTTTATAGCCTCTTTTATAACGTCAGCTGAAGTTTCTAAAGGTTTAAATTTGCAATATTGTTTTGTCTACTTTGTACATGCTTTCCTTCAAAATTTATAAGCTTAGCCTCAAACTTCAGATCCTAAGATCATACAGATAATGTTACATAGGAAAAATCCTTTAGCTCTAGTCACACTTTTGTCATCTGTAATGTATAAAAACTCGTTTTCAGATATTAAGACACTTCATTTACAAAATGGGAATATTATCTAAGATTCTTGCAAGATCTGGTTTCCAGAAATACGTATGTGCAAAATTTGGGTAAAGTTTTGAGTATTTTTGGCCTGGCCTGAATGCTCAGAGGTTAAATTCATACTTTGCATGAGCCAGGTTCCAAGATTCACATCCTGGCTGCTACACTTTCCTTCCAGTGCTCTGCTTGTGGCCTGGGAAAGCAGCAGAGGATGGTGAAAGCTTTGGGACCCTGCACCCACATGGCAGACCCAGAGGAAGCTCCTGCCTCTGCACTGGCTCAGCTCTGGCCACTGAGGACACTTGGGGAGTGAAGATCTTTCTCTCTGTCTTTCCTTCTCTGTTTATCTGCCTTTACAAGAAAAATAATTAAATTAAAAAAAAAAAGATTTCAGAGTATTGTTCATTGAAAATCAGGGGTGTTTACAAATGAGACACTCAGATATACAAAGAGGCAGATAAAATCAAGTGGTAGGCAGAAAGAAGATGGAAAACATGAACATGTAACATGAAATTGTGGTCATGCGAGGAGTGAACCAATGTATGGAAGCTCTTTCTGTCTCTTCTCTCTTTAAATCTGACTTTCCAATAAAAATAAATTTTAAAAACAGCCATGCAAAAGAATATTCTAGATTTGTACTTACCTATCTGGATTTATTAAAGACCGTATAGTAATAGCAGCCTTTAACCGCTGTTTGACATCTAAGTAACTTGAAGGTTCATCAAACATGAAACTTAAAAAAAAAAAAAGTAAATTGAGACAAACATAATTCAACATTTTATGTTAATGCAAAGCATTGCTAATGCTGATTTAATAACATACAGTCAGTCCACCACCAATAACAATTCCCGTATTGTTTAAAAGAAAAAAGAAGAAAACGATTTATGCAGGCTTGCCTTCTTACCAAGCATATGCAGAGCTTGGGAGAAATGAAGTCGTTTGGAGTATTTCTCTATATTAGCTAAATCAGCAGCATCACAGTAAAAAGCCTTTTGCATAGAATTATACAATTCTGGGAGAAAGGCTAGCCAGCAACGGATGCCAGAGTAGAAATAAGGAAAACCAATGCGGCTTAAATGACTGAGAGAAAAAGACCACAAGGTAGGAAGGAAATGTCTTGTTTTTATTCCCTTCACATGGCATGCTACCTTGATTTGAGGTGAGCTCAAAGGTCACACGTTTTACTTGAGATAGTTATAAAAAGTTTGCCAGCCTGTTTGAGAAGCTTGTCTTAAATGTCTTGCTCATAAAAAGATAGTTTAAATTACAAATACCTGATTTTGTATTAAAAGGCTTTGGAACTTTACATAAACTACTTTCCTATACAAATTATAGCTTTTTCCTCTGGGGAATGACAAAAAAAAGAGTAGTAGATGCACAATTACTTCAACTTACGAGATTTTAGGAATACCAGAGCATCTGATATCATTTCAATTTTTTTTGAAAACTATCCATTTTACTAGTAGCATTACTGATGAAAACCTAAATTAAGTATGAAGACATATAAAAAGTATAAAGTAACCTACATATCAGCTTTCTGTATGCAAACAACAGCACAAGCAAATCTCTGCAACTCTCCTCCTGAAAGATCTTCAACATTTCGTTCCTTTAGGTGGGTCAAATCTATGAGGAACATAGAGGCAGTGTATTCAATATTATAAATTTTACATTCAGGCTTCCAAGCAAAATGTATACTGATTAAGTACTGTCTAAAATGCTTGGGACTAGAAGTATTTGAATTCTAAGTTATCACATTTAAAAATATTTGCAGAGTATGGTGGTTGAACATCGCTAATGCAGTAAACGGAAACTTTTGACTGTAACGCTGGTTTTCCAAAAAATTTTTTGGAGCATTTCAGGTTAGAATTGCTCAACCAGTACTGCATGTCACCACTCTGGGCCTGGAAGACACTTCATTCGGAAATGGCTGTTATATAAAAAGTATGTTAAACAGCAATTTTCCCCAGATAGCTCAATAATCCACATAAAATGTGTATATTTATCATCTTAATTCAAGCCCCACTAAAACAGAAACACTACAAACACTTACCAAGCTGCTGACACACAATTGCCTGGGTCTTTGTTTCATCTTTTCGGTCCAAAATAGACCCCACTGTCCCCTGTCACAACAGACCAGAGACAGTTGTCACTAATTTCCTTTAATATTAAAAAGGATCTCAAAGTCAAGCAAGTTACCACGTATCATGTAAAGTACCATCAGCATCTACAGTACATAAATTGTTCCTAGGAAAGCAACTGACCTTTGCAGCCTTGGGAATCTGATCCACATACTGAGGCTTGATGATGGCTTTCAGGTCATCTTCCAGAATCTTGGTGAAATAATTTTGTAACTCAGATCCACGGAAGTAAGTCAAAATTTCTTGCCAGTCGGGAGGATCCTAAAGATACACACATAATTATCTGAACTTCAATTATTAAATAAAAAAAAAAAGAGACCAAATGAATGTCATACAGAATAGAACATATATCCAAGTAGAATAATTCCAATCTAGGAGACAGATTTTTCACTTAGGTAATACTAATACACCTTAATTAAAAACACATAGTTTTAGAATACTATTCTGAAATAGTTGAAATAATCTTGAAAACAAGAATTTAATCTACCTCCCCTAAAAAAATCACATCAAAATGGCCCAAGGTACTAATTTTTATAAGATTTTATAATACATACATCGTATTTTCCAAGGTTTGGCTTTTGTTTCCCTGCTAAAATTTTTAAAGCAGTTGATTTTCCAATACCATTAGTTCCAACTAGTCCAAGGACTTCACCTGGACGAGGGATAGGCAACCTGTTGTAAGTACACAAACAATAATAAAAATTCAGAAGAAAAAGCACATATTACCAGAATCATGTATTTTAATGCACTTGCACTTCACACACATCCACTAACAAGCTAAAAAACAGATGTCAGATATTATTGCCTAGTAGAAGAAACAACCACCAGCCAGATTAACTAAACTGTTGTTAGATATGCATCCATAATCAGCTGTTAATTTCATTTTTTCAATTTCGATTATAAAGTAACATTTTCCTTTACAGAAGGTTCAATTTTAAGTACAACAAAATGCTCTGGTACAAAATTCCATAGCAGGTGCACCCTCACCTTTTTTTTTTTCCTGGCCTGCCATTTACTTACAAGGAGAGAAGTGCCAGATCAACCAGAAATATTCCACTTCATTCTCCCTGCTGCAGCAGGCCTCTATGTGCTGGCAGGTTAAGAAATTCTTTTTAGTAGTAAAATTTAGAATCCCAAATTCAAAATATTAATGTGTAGCAGCTTAAAACTTATGAGTATGAATTTGTGTATGATTTAATAATGCATGACCAAATTCAGAGTGTACATTTGAAGAACTGTAGATGAAAGGCCTGAACAAAACGGGGACTGGCACTTTGGCATAATGGCCAACTTGCTAGCAGTTACACCAGCATCCCATGGAATTCCACTTCTGGTGTAACTCTGCCATTGGCTTGACAGAGCGAGGGAAGATGATCCAAGTGTCCCTGACACCCATGTGGGAGACCCAAATGAAGTTCCTGGCTCTGGTCTTGTCCAGCCTGACTACTGTGACCACTGGGGAAGTGAGGCAGTGAATGGACGACCTCTGTTTTCCCCTTTCTCTGTATCTCTGCTTTTTAAACATATAAAGAAATCTTAAAAAAGGGCAAATTTCCTTAAAACTTATCTGGGCATAACCAGTATGAATAGTGAATGAATACCATGCATAAATTAGAATCACCATTGACTTACTCAAGTCATTAAGGTGCAGAAAAACACCCAAATTAAGGTGAAACATGACCATTAATTTTAGAAGTCACCAGCATATTTTAAATATTACAATGATCAACTGCTAAATACAGAGTGATTCTTGATACTATTTCTCTGGTGCATTATCAATACCATCTGCTTCCACTTTAACATTTCTCCAAATAGTCTAAATGTATTTTACTCTTAATTTGTCTGAAGTAAAGAGGAATGTTGACTTGAATATATACCTGTGAAGTTTGAAGGCATTGGCACAATATCGATGTGTTGTTTCTTTTTCCAAGTTGCTTGGTAAATTGACAATTGATAAGGCGCCAAAGGGGCATTTCTGTTATTTAAGATAAAGAATTAATTTTGTATTAATTTATAGAAATATACACATTACTGAATGGATAGAGAATATTTTATAAACAATTTTCAAACATAGGAGTTTCATAAAGATGTGAAGTACTATTTCTTTTTCTTATTTACTCAAAGGACTGAGGTTCTTGAAGGCCAGAATTATTGCTTAATATGATATGCCATAAGTGATTTGTACACTTAGACATTTAATAAATGTTTAATCCTTAGTGAAAAAATTAGAGGTTTTCCATTTTTTCCCTAATCAAACAGAGAAAGCTAAGAGACAAAAAAATTGATTTATGGCTCCATGTTCTATCAGTAATGAACATTTTCTCCTCCTTAGATTATTACTATCCCTACATATCCCTTCCTTTCCATCTTACAAATTGTTCAAAGTCACGGTCTGTACTTCTGGAATATTTTCAGTCTATCAATAACTAGCATGTTTGTATTTACTGAAGATTCATGTCTTTTTCTGATGTGCCTGTGTTATATCTTATATGAAAGAGATGCTTCAATTTTGAACAATTTCACACATACACAAATAAGTCATTACAGGAAAAGATATTCAAATAACACTTGACTATCAGGTAAATGTTCAAGAACAAGAATGAGAAAAACAAGGGCATTTAAAAATTGGAACTTTTCTCACAAGTAGACAACTACAGCAGTAGAGCTAAACAATATAACTTCAGATTATGGATGTATTTAGTTGACATGTTCAATGAGCTCAGGGATCAGCTCAAAAGTTTGTACATATAAAGTACAGTGAATTTTCATGTTGAAATCATAATCAAAAATCTTTTATTTTCTAATAAAAGTCACTTTTACATTTGATTCCAGCCAAAAGCCCAAGAAGCGACGTAACTACTACTTCTAATGCAAACTTTTTTTCAAGGTACACTTTTCCACCAATAGAGTTACCTCCATTTAAAGAGTATCTCTGCTAGAACCTTCTTAATCAATATATACATATATAGTTTACTGGCTGAAAATCATTTAAGCTTCTCTAAATCTACAAGAAAAAAACCATATCCAGAGTTGATATGGACATCTTCAGAAGGTTTGTAGAAAACACATATTACTAATAACTAGGTTAGGAATTTAAAAAAATTTTACACAAAATAATTTATCTCTTAACCCACATTTCCATGAAGTATTTGAAGCCCTTTACTGTATATAAGGTGATTGTAAGCAGCATAAATTTCAGGGTGTATACATGTCTCTCATTAGCATGCAATTAATTAGCTATTTAAAATTCTGGAATTTCAATTTTCTGTAGCTGTGAAGTCATTCACAGGTGACATATAGTGTTCAAAATCAGAGTTTCAGCATGAGGAACACAGGCAGACATTTAATGAATCACTAATGAGTATCTGCTGGAATGCTTTCTGGTTCAATAGAAACTTCAGAAATTCCTGAAATCCTTTTAGATATTTAACCAAAAACTTAAAAACCAAGATAAAATATGAGTTATCCGAACAATTAATAGTACTATGTACATGCTAACCAAAATTGTTTTAATACTATTATCTACAATAAAAATATCCAAATTATTACATTATATATAGTTAGCTCCAAGAAAACATCCTAGAGTTATCTTATGACAATTTTACCATTCATTAGTCAAAAGCCTAATCAAATTGTTCAACACAACCAAAGGTTTGAGGGAGTAAAAAAAAAAATTATATAATCAACGTATAAAGTCAATAGAAACATTATAAAATACAACACAAGCAGCAATTTTTGATAATGTTCCATTTTACAGGCTTTGTCTGAATGCATTTCTGTTTAAAATCTGTGGGACTGAGGTAGGCTTTTCATGCAGTGCTTAAAACACTGCTGTGATGTCCGTGTCCTGTGTCAGAGTGCCTGGTTCAAGTCCTAGAGTTCCTGCTTTTGATTCAGCTTCCTGCTAATACGCAACCCAGGAGGCAGCAAATAATGGCTCTGGCATTCGTGCCCCTACAAGTCCAGAAGCAGAAGCGAGCCTCCTGGCCTGGGTCTATCCAGTCTGGCTACTGCAGGAACTTGGGCAGGAAGCCAGTGGATGGACAGTTTGTGTCTCTGACTCTCAAATAAAATAAATTATAATATGATCAGAATTTCAGGTTATAAATTTGATCTAATAAATGAAATATCATTTACCTTAATACAAATACCACAACCAATACAAAGAGTTTCAGAAATCCATGCTATTTTGCTCTGGGGTGTAACCTCTATGCATAATTTCCCTGGTAAAGGAAAAAATAAAATTAAACCATAGCCCCTGATACTCTTATATTTTGAACATTGTTATTTAGGTAATACGTGTTCCATATTTTTATACAGAAGCAGATTATCAAAAACTACAGCTACAGAAATACATAAACTACAGTGTCTTAAATCAGTGCTTTTTAGGGTATTAATTTCTGAATTAAATCGTAAATTTATTTTTACTTACAGAATATTCTTATTAGGGAGACAACTGTCATGTATATTTGCTTAGTTCACTATTAAAATACGGCAATTCATAAAATGTGCTTAATAACATCTTTGGTATGGGAGACAATAACCTATGAAATCTAAAGATTCTTTTACGTTTATTAAGTTTATACATTACAAGTGTGTGCGTATATATATATACACACACACACATACATAAAGTGACAATTACTTAACATAGCTCTTAAGTACTATTAACCACTCTAAGTTGTTAGAAATTTAGTCTAAATATAGTCATTCTTAGACTTACGGTAATTACTGACTTTGTAGAACAACACTTTCAGCTGCCTAAATTCTAGTTTGATTCCACATTCAATGAACTTTTAAACATTCCCATCTGTCCAAATAGCTAGAGATTTCAGATGCTTATTCAACTAACCAAGGATGGAAATACCTGTGGGAAACAACTGTTCTATATTTGTTCCATATGGACAAATACAGACTTTACACAGTTGTTTCCTGAATATAGTATGGCAACTGCTTATACAGCACACTGTATTAGGTATCATGTGTAATCTAAAGATGACTGACCATGTATAAGAGGAAATGCACAGGAAATAAGCATATTTGATGCCATCTGATCCAGGGCCCTTGAGTATCACTGGGTTTGTCTACTGGTGGAAGCGGAGGTAGAGAGAGGTCTTGTAACTAACAGCTCCCAGATACAAGGAGACAGATGTTTATGACTTGCCATTTGCCTTTGTTTATAAAAAGAGGCTTGATGGGTCACAGAGCCAATGAAAGAAATTCAGAACCAACTCTAGATTTATTCAAAGAAACTAATGGGGAAAACAAAGTATATGCTGAACCTCATATGCAACTATTACATCACTATCTTCCAAAACCCACTATCCTTAACTGATTGACAGAGTAACTTACCCATTCGAACCACAGGACAACTCTTCTTGCACTCCTGCCGACATTTCTTAGGTTTACACTTGTCATGGTTGACAATAGCAATTCTGGTTAATTTGTCTGCCATAATTTTAAGAAATCAAGAATATCCAGTTTCTATAAAAACAAAAACAAATAAAGTTATGGAAAATTCTATGTAATTAGTTAAGGTAAAGAATTGGCAGATATAAAAGTTAGACAAGAGGACATTAATGATCATCTTGGAGATGACATGACAATCTGGAAATTAGGACTTTAGTAGAGTAGTGAAAACAGTAAAAAAAAAAATCCATCTATAATGCTAATAAGAAATACTTAGAAATACACTTAACAAGAATATATACTTCAGAATATACTTAACAAGATGTGAACATTAAAAGAAACTTTAAAATACCACCAAATGATACAACTGTATAAGTGATATGCAGTCTCAGCTTCTATAATGAATAATCAATAGACTTCACTCTCCCTTGAATTTATACATTTAACCCAGATGGAAGAAGAAACAGATCAGAAAAATTAGACTGAAAACTCATAAGGAAATAATATCAATTAATTACAACCAAGAATGGGGAACTTGCACCTGACATATTAAAAAAGATTCAATGCCTCAGTAATGAACATGTATCAATGCATGAATACAGACAAACAAATACCCATGCACAAAATGTAACATATATAACTATGTTTTTCCTTCCTCCTCCTAACCAAGCATTACTTCACACATTATCCGACTATGATGACAGAAATAAAGGAGGTGGCAAAAATTACTAGGTTGAAAAAAACATTAAGACATGGTTACAAGAATATATTTTAATAAAAACAAAATTAAAAGAGATTAAATATACTGTGTTCTTTTAAAGCTCTTATGAGTCTTGATATGTAATAGTATAATCTACTTTACAGCAATGATCTTAAAGCTGCATAGGTAGGCTTCTCGAGTAGACATTATTTTCCATAGATCTTCATTTGTTAACACTGCAGCTTATTCCAATTTACGGTCAAAGAATCTGAAACCAAAGGACTACAGTTACTAAGACATTCTGTTGGCTTTTCTCTGGATCCCAAGCCTTTTTATTTTGACAGAATGCTTTCATGGCATATCCCTCAAGTCTGTCACACCATCAATATCTTTAGGCTTAGAGGAGGAAGAGAGCTTGCTCCTCAATGTAATCCCAGATCATCTGCTCGCCCCACTCCTAAAAATACACAATTCTGATCACCCAACTCTTTATTCATGTGTGTGTGTGTATATATAGATATCTTTATATGAATATAATTGGGCCCAGCATGGTGGGCTAGTGGCTAAAATCCTCTCCTTGAATGCGCCAGGATCCCAAATAGGCGCCTGCACCTGAGTGGGAGAACCGGAAGAGGCCCTGGGCTCCTACCTTCAGATCGGCTCAGCTCCGGCTGATGCGGTCACTTTATTTATTTTTTTATTGCAAAGTCAGAATGCACATATACAGAGAGGAGGAGAAACAGAGAGGATGATCTTCGGTCCAATGATTTACTTCCCAAGTGGCCACATGGCTAGAGTTGAGCTGATCAGAAGCCAGAGCTTCTTCAGGGTCTCCAATGTGGGTGCAGGGTCCCAAGGCTTTGGGCCATCCTGTACTGCTTTCCCAGGCCACAAGCAGGGAGCTGGATGGGAAGCAGGGCTGCCAGGATTAGAACCAGTACCCATATGGGATCCTGGGCTTTAGTCAAGGACTTTAGTCACTAGGTTACCGCACTGGGCCCTACCTTGTCTTTTAAGCTCCTCTTATTGCTCTTACTGATTTTAGTGTGCTCACAGATGACACTTCTATTAACAGCCTCCTTCTTAATCTGTTAATTCCTCCTGTACCTTTCTGTTCTATACTTCATGGGCAGCCACACCTAGACCTACACATTATCCACAACTGCAATCCTTCCATATAACTTTAATTTCAAATAATCCAATCCCCATCTATCATTTCTTCTCTTGCACCTCATCCCTATATTACATAATAACCTCAAAACCCTTTGATCCTCCCATTCTCAAGCCTATTATCAGCCTCTAAACTCTACCATACTTGCATCATCCCCAGTCCCAGTTAAATTCCACTGCCAATCACTTATACTCCAATAACATTCTTGGTCAAAATTCAACTCTTCACCTGAATCCATACAGGTGAACACAGACAGCAAAAGAAACAAAGCCTGGCCACTATTTCCCTTTAAACTCCTCATTCCAACCAGCAACACTGCTGTGGTCCTTCAGGATTCAGGGGACTGAGCTCAGATACCGAATCAAATACTTAAAGTCTTGCTCATATGGAGGGCTAACTGTATCTATTTAAGACACTCTCTAGACATAACCGTCTAACAACTCTCCTTTTTAAAAAAAAAAATATTTTATTTTGATAATCTTTACATTGTTGATTAGAGAACAAAGGGTCAAGGGCTAAGGAAAGTGGGTAAGACCATTGTTTCACATTCTCTTTTTCTCTCTATGGGGTAAATGAGGAGGTAAACGGAGAAGCCCCACCCAGTCTCCCACCCATCCCAGGGTTCCCTATGTGGGGCATGCTCCAAGGGTACTGCTTAATTAAATGGTTTAGATAGTTCAACAGTTCTGAACTGCTGCCAGTCTTGCCATTCCAAGCATGAGAAATCTCTCCAGAATCTAATGGCTGACATAGTCTACCTTAGAGTCTCCATTTGCCCAGATTTTCACTGCCAACACTTGGCTGGGGTAGTTGATCGATTTGTTCTGTCCTTTGTCAAAACTTTCCCTTCTTTTACATCATCAGCTACTCTACCGGGTCACTCCAGTGAGCAAATCATCTATTACTTGACCTCGGCATCTCCCACTGCTTGCTTTCTCCTCTACTTGTAACAGCTGCCTATACTCTGTACTCAAAGTTCTCTCTCTGTTTTTCACTGCAATCCACTTCAGGCTTTAGTGTCCATTATTTCATAAAAACATGATCTGCTGTCACTGTTCTGCAGAGATAAATCAAATGGTTAATTAACAGACTCTAATAACTACCCATGAAAATCATGTCTTTTCCTTAACAGATAAACCCCTAAGTTGATTCTATCTAGGATATGGCACTTAATTTGGTTTCCTTCTACTTTCCTGGTCACTCCTCTTCATTCCCCAAGCTCTAAATGCTGAGACTTGGCCTTCGGGGCTGGTATCACAGTGTAGCAGGTAAAACCGCCAATTGCAACAGGAGCCTCCCATGCCAGCTGGTTAGTGTTCCCACTGCTCCACTTACAATCCAGTACCCTGTTAACGGTCTGAGAAAAGCACTGGAAAATGACCCAAGGGTTTGGGCTCCTACCACCCATATGGAAGACCTGGAAGAAGCTCCTGGCTCAAGCCTGGTTCACCCGGGCCTTTGGCTATTTGGGGAGTCAACCAGCAGGTGGAAGATCTCTTTTTTAAAAGGGGGTTCAGAGCCCATAGTCCTCCTTTTTTTTTAAAAGCTAAGTTTAACTGTTGTCTTGTGGTTTTACACCCAACTTACCTACTGCAAAACCCAAATTCTAGGTTTAGTCGGGACATGTCCTCTGAACCCTAAATCTGGTCTATCTGGTTACCTTGCCTTGCCAACATTTTTCTCCACAAGGTCTAGTAGGCCACTTCCCATGTGAGCTCTTGAAATTCACAACAGTGATTTTTCCAGGAATCCTGCCTATTTTGTTGAATTGTAATTTTACCTTTCCATTTGTTCAAGCCCAAATCCTTAGAACCATCTTTCACTTACACATACATTAGCCTGTAAAACACGTCAAGAGTCTGAGTGCTTGTGCTGACAGTAGTCTAAGCCATCAGTGTAGTCTACCAGCACCCTAACAGATCTCTGCTTTATCCTTATTTCCTACTCCTACCCTCAAATCTTTCTCAATATAGGAACCTGAGTAGTTTTATTACCAGGAGAGCCTAAGCATGTAATTCCACAAACTTAAAAAATTCTGCACTGGATTCTCTTCCCAAGTCTGAGTAAGAGCCAGCTTCTTCAAATAACCAAGGAGGCACCAAATGGCCTCTCTTCCCTGTCTGAAGTCTTGAGCTACTCCAGCTCTTACCCAGCCGGGCCACAGCGGCGTGGTCTCCTGGTTCCCCACACCCTTTATGCACGTTCTTGCTTCAGGCTGTCAGCACTCTGTTTCTTCCACCTGCAGCATTTTCACCCCCAGAAAAATCGCATGATCACTGCCACTTCTCAGTGAGTCCTCTGGAGTTACACTACCTCAAAATACACATAGCTGTCCTTTGTGACTAGCGTTTTTGCTCTATTTTTCAACTGTCTACTATATGACACATATATACACACCCGTGTATGCACATATTCTCTCTCTCTCATACACAAACATTCGGCATCTCTCCAACATGCACTTTTTCCCTTCCCAAGAAGTACATCATCTCACATGAACTAGGATTTCGGTTTTACTACGTGGATTAGTGCCTAGCACATAAGAGGAGGTCAAGCGTCTCCAGTTAAGCAGTGAGAAAAGTGAGTTTAAAGGTAACATGTAATTTTCTTATAGACCGTAATGGCTTCAAAATGTTTCTATTACCAACATTTTATGTTGACAATTTGCTAAATTATATACTGAATAAGCAAACAAAATCACTCTGGGAAACAACACACTCGTGGGAGAATTGACATACCAAGATGCTCACTCCACTTTAAAAACCAGTCCAGGTCTCGTAAGGTTTAACAGAAAGGAGATGATTCGAATTATTACAAAGCAGCTATCATACTATACATGCCACATAACTAAAATAACTACTTCAAAACCAAGTGATTGTATGAGATGATTTTTACATCTTTTTACTATGATTTTTACAAAATAAAAACATACTAGAGGTGGCTAATGGAGTTATATTTAAAATAACTAACTAAATAAATCACATCCAATTGAATACAAATGTATTACTATTCAATGTATAACATCAATGTATTACTACTAATTAATTGTATAAATACTATTAATTCAATTCCCATGTTAGTTTCCAGAACCCAGGCAAAGCAGTTCCCAAACTTCCTTTTCCAATGGGAACAATGTGGCACAGTGGAATTTGGAAAGAACAAGAATTTTGTGAACAAGGAAAGATTTGAGGATATTACAGATCTGAAGACAAACTGCTCAAAATACACATTCAAAAATGGTCATCAATATCACTCTTCCAGAAGAGAAAAGGAAGGCCTCCACATTAAGCATCCATAGTCTAAGATCAAAATTATTCTATGCAGTGTAAAAGTGCTGAGAAGAGCACCACTAACTAATGCTGTCTGATACTAAGTGTTCTCTGCTGTAGGGGCCCTGCGAGGTAGCCTAGGAGCTGAAGTCCTTGCCTTGCACGAGCCAACATCCCATTTGGGCACTGGTTTGTGTCCCAGCCAGTGGCCCCACTTCCCATTCGGCTCCCTGCTTGTGGCCTGGGAAAGCAGTCGAGGACAGCCCAGAGCCTTGGGACCCCGCACCCGCGTGGGAGACCCTGAAGAAGCTCCTGACTCCTGGTTTTGGATCAGTTCAGTTCTGGCTCTTAGGGTCACTTGGAGAGTTAATCAGCAGATGGAAGATCTTCCTCTGTGTCTCTTCTCCTCTATGTATACCTGATTTTCCAATAAAAATAAACAAGTCTTTTAACAAAACGTTCTCTGCTGTAGTAATAGTGACTAGTCTGGTAAAGCACAGCAGGTTGGGAGTGGTATAAACTCCGATCCAAAGTCTCCCTCTTCCCTCTACAACCTCACTGTTAAATGTTCTTTTGGGAAAGTTTTCCCCTTGTTTAACAATTAAGGAGAACAATTTTTTTTTTTAAACAAAACCTAAACAAGCTAAAAAATGCATCGTCCTCCGCCCCCCAGCTACACTGATTATTACTACCTGGTGATTGGTACAGAATAAATATACTCAGTAAACTAGCCAAATAACTGCAACACAAATGCTACCTTCCAAACAATGCCTACTGAGCAGACTTGTGAAAGACATCAGAAAACCAGCTGTCATGCCAATTATTCCTTACTCCCCCGATTACCAGCAAAAGAGGAGAGTCAGAGAGAGTGTGTGAGAGAGAGAAATGCCACGGTTCATATCACGTGGGAATTCGGCCTTGGCTGTCACTCACACCACACCAAGCGCCCACGAAGGATGAAGTCCTGAACGCTTGTCTACCACCAAACTTGATCTGAACGGAGCTTAAGACAGCATGTATGGAAAGCCGGCTAAGACTGCAAGGAAGCAAGTGCTCTAGGAAAACGAATCCCAAAACGCTTTTACCCCCACTGGGCGACGACGTGGGAGAACCGCCCGTTCGCCCTAGCAGAAAGCCAGAGTGACGGGTGTCCAGCATTTCCACAAAGCCTGGGAGTGGACGGGGAGTACTGGCCTTGGCGGCGGCAAGATGCCATGACTAACGCCACCACCTTCATCCCATGTTGCGAGCAAAGCTGCCATTTCCCAGCGAGCCCACGCGCACGCGGGACACCATGCCCCCTTCTCCCGAGCTCTCGGGGACGCAGCAGCAGGGGCCGAGGGTGGACCCTCCCTGTCCACTGCCACAGGGGCAGGCAACGGCAGCGGCAGGAGGGGCGCGCCGGCCGTTCCAGCTGTCGCCCGGGAGCCGGCTGCCACGCGCCGGCTGCCGCCACCCGAGGCCTAACCCGAGCATCTCGCGGAACGTCCCCACGGCCTCTCCAAAGGGACAGACGCCGGCACACGCCCACGCCTCTTGGGGGCTACTCTCGTACCTGAAGAAAATGATCCCCCCGGTGGAGGGGAGCGCGGAGGCCACGCGAGCTCTCTCGCCTTCACTTCTCAGCCACACGGCGTGTTTCTACGGCCACCGGCCAAGATGGCGGTGTGCGGCCGCCGCCTCGCGCAGACCACAGGGGGACGCACGGCGCGCGCGCGACCGAGCGCCAGGCGGAGTCCTGCGCGCCGCACGTCATTGGCCTGCGACCGCCAGCCGCCGTCGCGGAGCAGCCGGATGGTGCTGGGCGGCGGGGTGGGAGTGGCGCGGAGCTGCGGGAGCGGGAATTGCGGCCCGTGGGATCTGCAAGCCGTAAGTGCCGGAGGTTCTTGCGGCGTGGAACGTAGCCCTACCTAGCCGAAGCAGATGCATGGTCCTACCCCGGGTCTGTGGCTTTTGCCGCTTGCAGCCTCCTGGAGGCTTTAGGCGTTCTAGCACGCCGGTGGGTGTCCAGTGGCACCCTCGAAGTCTGCCCTGTACACTGCCTCCCTTCGCCCCAGCTCTGCTGTGTGTGGTCAGTTATTTGAGGACAGGAACTCAGCCTTTTCTGACCTCCGTGTTTTATCCACTTGGAGGCGTCCAGCGCTAAGACCACGGGTTAATTCTACAACAATGTAGAGTTTGTTTGTTTGTTTTTTCCCTTTTGGGGTGTCAACGTTAGACTAATAAAGATAGGTTTGAGGCTTGCTTGTGTTTTTCTAGCTAGGCCTTACTTATCTTGCAAATAGAATCCGTGCGTCCATTTATTCATTCAGTAAGTTGCGTGCTGAGTGTTGAAATCTCAGACCTTTTCAAAGATTGCATCCCTGTGGCTGCCATTGTCTAATGACTATCAAGTGCTTTTTGTGGACTCTCAGGAAACGCTGTAGGAGCTCCTGGGAGCTGTCAGGGAGGTAGATGTATTATGATACACAGTTGCTAGTATCACAATGTCTAGTAAGTTTTATGTGTTGTTCATAATCCTAGAAAAACTTCATGTCTGCATTAGAATTGCAAAGATGGGAAAAATGAAGTCAACCTTTTCAGATGACATCAACCAGTTCCTACACCTGGAAGCCATTTTTTCTGTCTTCTATGATAGAAGCACATGTCATTGAAAGTTTAAAAAAACGTTTTACGTGCTTATTGCTTGAAAGGCAGAGTTACAGAGCTCTCTTCCATCTGCTGGTTCACTCGGCAGCGTTCAGGGCCTTAACCCAGCGCACCACAACACAGGCCGTGCAGTGAGGCTGTAGATGCTAGGATGGTGTTATTCTTCTCTGCACCCGTGAATACGTACCTACAAGGGAACCAATATTGACATATTCCAGGAGTAAAAATATTTCAATCTGACCTTTGTTTTCAGAATTGCGTAGTGTTGTATAGTTAAAAACCTTTGAAAGCAAAGATAAGTGCACTCAGAGCTGCTCCAAGTCTTAAAGAGAGGCTGAAGTTAGAGTTAATCCTGTGTTCCCTCCACTACATCTGCTGCTTTGTATCTTCTGTCATGTTTCCTGTCATAATATATGAAAGAACAACTGAATTTACAAGATGCTTTAATTATGACCATTGAGTTATATTTGTATTAATCACATTTGGGAAATAAGTAATTACTATGTCTTTGTATAATCTATTAATTTATAGTGTTACCCGCTGTTGAAATATCCTTGGTCCCTGGTGTAATGTGTGTGTTCTTTCTTTTCACATAGAACCCTTTAAAAAATGACCACACCAAACAAGACACCTCCTGGTGCTGACCCTAAGCAGCTGGAAAGGACTGGAACAGTGCGGGAAATTGGGTCACAAGCTGTTTGGTCACTCTCATCTTGCAAACCAGGTAAAAAGAAAATGCAAAACAGAAGAGCTATTGGTAGTCATTTCCTTGTACACTAAACTGATGTGTTCTTTTTTTCCGTAACAGATTTATTTTATTTTTGACCCGTTTATATAGAGTTGAGAAGAATGCACGCCCATGTGGACCACTGATTGGGGCAGGAAGTGTCAAGGGATGGTGAAAAGTAGATGAGACAGCTGCTTCCAATCTTCTCTCTATTTTTCCTGTATCTGAAGGAAAGGGAAAGAGAGTGGGAAGAGGGTAGTGCAGCCTAACCACACCAGTACCCAAAGATGTGGGACAGCCACTTGATGTCATCCTAGGGTCCCTGATGTGGGGCGTGTTCCAAGAGTGCTGCTTAAGTGCTTTTGATGGTTCTGAGATGCTGTTGATTTCATTGCTGCAAGTTTGAGAAAATCCCTACAAAGTCCCTTGGCTGACATAGGCCACCTCAGAGTCTTCACTTGTCCCGATACTCACCATCAGAACTTGGACAGGAAAGTTGTCCAATTTGTTCTGCCCTCCATGGTATTAGATGTCCGCTGCAGGCCTCAATGAACTGACCGTCATGTCCCCCATCAATGGGTGCTGCAGCCTGGCTAAGCCTGTTCGACCCCACTATCCAGCTCACTTTTATGCCAGCAGGCATCACCGTCTGTCCAGTAAGGCCTACCCCCAGACCTGGTTCTCATGCTCACCAGTGGGAACTGCAGCCCATCCGAGGGATGCCTACAGTTTCCCTACTAGGTCCACTCCCAATCCTGGATCTTGCTGTCTCCAGGTGGTATTGTGGTCCAGTCTGACAGGACTTGTCCCCTGTCCTTGCATTTGCCAGCTAATATTGTGGTGCAGCCTGACTCTTTTAACACACATGGAGGTCAACGGATTTTGTAGCCCTGCCCACCTGGTCTGCTCTAAGTCCCAACTCATGCTCACCAGCAGGAGCAGTGGCCTAGCAGGGAAGTTGCCATAGCCCCCTTACTGGGCTCACACCGCCACACTGGGTCTTGCATGTACTATTGAATACTGCGACTTGTTTTGGCATGGCCTACCTCATGTCAGCATTCGCAAGCAGGTGCTTCAGCTTCACTCAGTCTGGTGTGGCCCCAGTCCCAGGTCATGCTGGTGGGTGCTTCAGCCTAGCCTAGGCTGGACTGCCCACAGTTCCAGCTCTGATGTGAACTGGCTGGTGTTGTGCATGTGGCCTTCCTGGTTCTCAGATCTTCCAGTGGGTGCTATGAATTGGCTCAGGCCTGTCTGCTCCCAGACCTGACCCACACATATGCTGGTGGGTACTGTAACCTGACCTGGTCTGGGATGCTCCTAGCTTTGGTTCTTGTGCTCACCTGCAGGGACTGTGTCCTGACAGAGGAGTTCCCCAAGCTCCTTTATCAGGTCACCTTCCAGTCACAGATCTCACAGACACCAGTGGGTAGTTGGCCCAGGCTGACTTGGCCCACCTCCTGTCCTTGCAGGTATAGTGGCCTTGCCCAAGTGACCCGCACCCATTTGAGTTCTTATCATTGGGTGCTACATTCCAGCCCTGCCTTGTCCATCCCCAGACTTGGCTGTCACATAGCTCAGTAGGACCCGAAACCTGTCCCAACCAGTCTTATACCCATTCTGGCTCTTGCAAGCACCAACAGGTGCTGGAGCCTAGCCCAGTTTGGCATACCCCAGACCCAGTCCACACTTATGCTGAGGGGTGCTATAGCCATGTCCAGCCCACATTGCTGCCCCCTTTCTGGATGTTGTGCTCACCAGTGGGAACCACAGCCCAGCTGCGACACCCCCTTAGCTCCCCTCCAGGCCTGCTTCAGCCACAGATTGTCGTTGTGCCGGTGGTTGCTTTGATCCAGCCTGACATAGCCCATCCCCTGGCTTAGCCTTGGCCATAGATGCTGTAGCTTGGGCTGGCCTGGCCTGCCTCTAGTCCTAGTTTTCACAGGTATGTGCCACAGCTTAGCCCTGTACAAACTTCCCCCATCTCTGGCTTTCATGCAAACCAGTAGGTGTAATAGCCTAGCCTGGAATGGCTCTCACACACTCATCCTGGCTCCTGCACATGCCACTGTGATATGATTTGGCCTCCCGCTACCAGATCTATTGCCCCAGAGACAACCCACACACATGCTGACAAGTGAAGCAGTCCTGCCTGGCCTGACCAACAGCCAGCTCTGACTTATGTACTCACCAGCAGGAGCTACCGGCCACCAGGCAAGTTCCCTAAGTTCCTGCAACAGGCCCACTCCTAGACCCAGATCTGACATGTGCCAGTGGGCGGTAGGCATTGACTTGGCACAGTTGGCCACTAGTGTCAGCCTTTGCATGTGCTGATGGATGTTGTGGCCCAGCTGCCCCACACCGTATCTTGGTTGCACCTACAGGTGCTGCAGCCTGGACCAGCCCAACCTGTTCTCTATCCCAGTACCCATGAGTGTTACTGAGTAACATGGTCCTGCCTAGCTCAGCCTGTCACTACCCTAGCCCTTGAGCAAACCAGCTCATGTGGTAGTTCCACAAGGGTAAGCCCACAAATCCCCCACAGGATCTAACTCCAGACCCAGGTCTCTTGCATGATGGTCGTGGCCCAGCCTAATGTGGCCCATCCCCTATTCCAACACCCACTGGTGGGTGCTGTGGTCTAACCCTGACAGGTAGGCTTTCTAGCCCTAATTTTAGTGTCAGTGGTGGTTGATGGTATCTAGCCCAGCTCAGGTTTCCACATGGGTGGATGCATAGGCCTGACCCAGGAAGGTCCTCTAGCTTCCCCCTCTTGAAACTTCTTGGTCTCAGCCCCCTTGCTTACCTGCAAGTATAGTGTCCTTGTCAGCAGAAGGCCCTCAGAAGTCATACTCTGAACAGAGTTAACATACTCTGTTAACATACTCCCAACAGTTCCCTGCCCACCAATCCCAATATCATCTTCCCTGAGCAATCCACAATCTCCATGCCCAGGATCACTTCGGTTCCCCAAGATCGCTTCGGTTTCCCAGCCTGGTCTTTTGGTCAGGTGGTACGCTGGTCTGTAGCCCTGCCCACCCACTTGAGACCCAAGCTCATGCATGAGTTCCCATTCCTGGACTTCTGGCATGCATGCTGGCCTGGGACCTTACCCCTCCATCTGCCCAGGACCCAAGCAAGTGCATGAATCTCCAAGCCCAGCCCACTAGCACACTACAGCTGTTCAACCTGGAGCCTTACGCCGCAACCCACCCATCAGACCCAAGCACATGCACAAGTCCCCAGGCCCGCTCTGCCAGCCCCTGGTATGAGGTCCCAGGCCCTAGAGCTCACAGAAGGAAGCCCTTGGCCAGACTGAAGTGTTTTTTTGTTTGTGTAAATGGCTTAAGTCTAATGAAATGTATTTATAGATTGTCTCTTTCCAGTTGCTTCATCTAATTAGATTTAATGACATGTGTCATAAAGTCTCTTTCTTTTCCTGTATCTCTGCTATAATTCAGTTGTCATTTAATTACCTTTTTTGGATGTTGATGGCTATTTCTCAAGATAGGGTAGTGATTTTTTAAAAAATTTTTCTTTGAGTAATTACATTTCCCCAAATAATTTTACTGTATTCTTGATAAGGAATTTTTGAGAGAGTTTTGTTTTTCTCAAAAAGTCGTGAATATTGTTTTATTGTCCTCTTTTGCCATGTTGCAGGTAAGGAAGCCTGTATTCATTTTGTTTGGTTTTGTTCTTTCTGGAAGCATATAAAATTCTCCTCTTTCTTGGGAGGTTAACACTTTTGCCAGGGTACGTGTGTGTTTTCTCATGTATGTATCCCAAAGTTTGATAAGCGTTTCCAGTCTGTGCACTCAAGCTCAGAGAAATTTCAAGCTCGAAGATGTTGACTGGGAGTTGGTGGAACTGGATAGCTTTGTATTTTTTCAGCTCTTAGGGCACTAAGTAAGTTGTTGGCTATTATTTATTTTGGTAGATGTGCTTTTTCAAGTTGAGGAAGTTTCCCCCTTTGGTGTGAGGTGAGCTTTTGTTTTGTTTTGTTTTGTTTTGTTTTTTTAGTTATTTTTATTGGAAAGGCAAGTAAGACTTATGGAGAGGAGAGATGGACACAAAGATCTCCCATTTGCCGGTTCACTCCCCATATGGCCGCAGTGGCCAGAGCTGAGTTGCTCCCAAGCTGGGAGCCAGCTACCTTTTCCAGGTCTCCCATCTGGGTGCAAAGTTCCAAGGACTTGGGCCATCCTCTACTGCTTTCCCAGGGTGTAAGCAGAGAGCTGCCAGGACACAAACTGACACTGGTAAGGGATCCTGGCATTTGCAAGGTGAGGATGTAGTCATTGAGCCACCTTCACACCAGGCCCTTTGTGTTCTTATCTTGAATAGGTACTGAATTTTATCAGTGCTTTTTCTACTCATCAGATCATCTGATTTTTATTTTTAGCATGTTGAACTGGTGGTCCAGGAGTTTTTAATCTCCCAAAGGAGTGCACACAGCATGTCTGGCGTTAGTGAGCTGGCTGTAGCCGTGATTTCTGACCTCAGTTTTATGTTAGACCTAGGAATTATTGATTTTCAATTTTTCCTTTTTTTTTTTTTCTTGTTGGAAGGATGTGACATTTCCAAGCTCTTTATGTGTCAGACCAGAAGTCAGAAATTCTTCCTTTTGCTTTTTAAACTGCAACTATCTTTTGATTTATGGTGGGTTACCCAGGGCACATTTTTGGCCCTCTCGGTGAGAGCCTATGAGGATGCACGCATCCCACAGCAGAGACCCTGAGTTCCATCCCCAGCTGCAGCTCCTGACTACAGCTTCCTGCTAATGGGCACCCTGGCTGAGCCAGAGCCAGCATGCTGGCTGAGAGCTAAGGCTCCTGCCTCCCACGTGGGACAGCCAGATGGAGTTCTCAGCTCCCGGCATCGCCAGTCTCCTGGCTATCGGCATGTTCCTTTTTTCTCTGTCTCACCTGTGTTTGTCTCTCAAATAAATAAAAATATTTTAAACAACATATTAGGGAATATTGCTTTGTTTTCTTTTATTG